GTTCTAAACATCTAATAAATGTCTTCTTTACATTTTATATCCGAACTGGCAGAGGTGATAAAGACTCCGTATTACAATGTTCAAGTTGCTTAAAAAACTTAATACAAATGGTTTTGAGTGTGTGAGTGAGTGAGTTGAGTTTTACGCCGCAACTGGCAATATTCCAGCTATATGGCGGCAGTCTGTAAATAATCGAGTCTGGACCAGACAATCCAGCGATCAAGTGAGTGAGTGAGTTGGGTTTAGCACCACTTTTTACAATATTCCAGTTGTGCTCAGTGTGGGATCATAGCTTGAAGTGATGCAGGTCCCAGATATTTCCCACTGGTGAACCTGAGGAACATGGCTGCTGACAAACCTAAAGACATTATCGGGGCAAACAGGGATTTGAACCGACAATTATAGGTTCCTGGCAATCCCAAGGGATGCAACTCTGTAGTGATAGTGACACCCTTTTCTATTCAGAAATGGTTCTATTCTGCCACAAAAATCATGATAATTTGTTTTGCAGAAAAGATAAAGGGCATGTTACAACTTTCCACAGTCTTGTGAATGTCAAAATAATGTTCAAACTCCATGTAGCATCAGAGCAATATATTTGTCTGGATCGGAAATGATATACGACAGTTATGGTTTTAATGTTAAACTGATGACAAACAACACTCGCAAAGCCAGCAGACTGAAAGATACTAGATTCCTCATCAAAACTTGACCAACCCGAAAGCATCGAGCACGAAAAGTGAGCTGAAATAAACCCTTGACAGAGCCAGTACTACCTCGGCTATTCCTGGAGTTTTATATGGCAAACTTGACAATGAGTATCACTCTTATTTTCATTAGTAGTCTAGACCGAACTTAAACCGGGGATTATGTAGTCAATTTGATGGATATTGTCCACCATCATGGCGGACCTCATGCCTCTGGGCTCAACACAGGGCGGTGGTGATGTCATCTGTGTTTTTAATGTCATCATAAACTGATTATTTCTGCCGACCCTCAGTGTCTGGTTATGGCTCTGTGTTTTGTTTCAGTATAACATTGTCTGGGCAATAAGGGCGGGAGATCCTGTACGATTGTCTGACATCTTCGCCTTTATAGTCGGCTGCATTGCATTTGGTGTTGATATTGATGGCCTGGTTTTGTTGGAGGAAACTCCTTTGGCAGACGTGATGGAACTAGTTTGTCCACAGATCTCATTCCCAGGTGGACGTAATTTCTGGTGAAACTATGCTCTTGCCTACTTGGAGATATGTTCTGTGGATTATTTTTGTGGAATCAGAACTGACCAGATTGGCATTGATTTACAAGGTGCTTTATAACTTTTTTAGTTTTGATGGCCTCAAACATGTTCTTTTTACCCAGTGAAGGATGACAGCCATTGGGGTCAGCTTCTCTTATGGTTCGTTGGTTGGTTTGTTACTTAACGCCGCACTCAGCAATATTCCAAGCTATATGGTGGCAGTCTGTAAATAATCAAGTCTGGACCAGACAATCCAGTGATCAACAGCATGAGCATCGATCTACACAATTGGTATCTGATGACATGTGTCAACCAAGTCAGCGAGCCTGACCACCCGATCCTGTTAGTCGCCTCCTACGACAAACATGGGTTACTGAAGATCAATTCTAACCCACTCTTCTCTTATTGGTAGGACAAAGCATTCTATACTTCTCATATAGGTGGGTTATTGGATCTGTTGGTCAGTCTCTGTGATTAGGTTCATTGTACGTGCCATAGTACCCTGATGGCATGGATTGGTGCTCATAATATCAATCACAAGTTGGTCTTTTCCAGACAAAATTTTAAAAAGCTTAGTTCTTTGGGTTTTTTTGTCACTGCATTTCTTGGTCAACATTTTCTGAAGGAAACTGAATTGTAAGAATTCAGGAAACATTTTTTGTGTCTTCCATCCTAGCAAAATGAAAATCTGTAAAATGAACTGGATGACCCTATGACTCCTAAAAAATATCTGCTTAATTTGTGAAAACCATACAACAAAGACCAAAAGATGTAAGTGTGGCAAATGATTGATTACTGATTAAATCATGCATGCATTGTAACAGACTGAATATCAGATACTGTTCTGACTTATACGTAAACAGCATTCTTGTGTTATGAACTGAGCATTATATGTGCAAACTAGTCCATTTATATTAAAATATTCAAACAGCATCAGCCAAAAGCGCGCTGTCCTGTGGCTTAGAGTAAGATCAAACAGCACCCAGCAGTGTGTCACCAGCAAGCCTCTATGTATGCACCGTCAAGCAAAATTGATTTCTTGTCAGATTGCTAAGGTGAACTTTATACCTAATTCAACTACTTGGAAATGATGGTGCAATGGTGTGGCTATTCAGCTTAATACTGTAAGGGAATCACGTTCAATATATTGTATTGTAATGTGTTGTAGTCGTATTACGAACTTCCATTATCACTATGATGCTGTTAGTTTGAAGTTGAAAATATGTGTGTGATAAGTCATTTACTGGTGTCCGAACAGTTTGGAGTTGTAAAGTGATTTGTTATGAAATCACTGACTTGTGAGAAATACATCTTGCTGGCTTGCCAGAAATCTGTGATCATGTTATTAATAGTTTTTAAATTCTTAAAAAAAACCTGAATGCATGATCTACTGCAGTTCATTCCAATGAAGCTCATGAATTTGGTCATTACAGGAAGTAACAACATATGAGGCAAAAGAACATGGTAACATATGATTGACGTCATGAGCATCAATCCATGCAGTAGGGTGAGTGAGTTCTCTTTTAGGAATATTCCAGCAATATCATGGCAGGGGACACCAGAAATGGGCTTCACGCTTTGTTACCCATGCAGGGAATCGAACCTGCGTCTTCGGCGTGACTAGTGAACGCTTTAACTTCCGGGCCTAGATTTTTGAGCCTCTCTTAGCGCTAAGATAGTCGTATGTGCCATTCATTAACATTAACTTACGACTATCTTAGCGCTAAGAGAGCTTCGAAAATCTAGGCTCTGGGCTACCCTACCACATACAATTATCCAAGTCACTGACTCTGGCCACCAAATTCATTCGGTTGCCTAGAATGTCTAGTATGGATTGCTGGGTACTCATTAAACAGAATCCTTAAGGAGAATCGTCACGCTGAAGACCCGGGTTCCGAATCCCCACATGGGTGCAATGTGTGAAGCCCATTTCTGGCGTGATGTTGCTGGAATATTGCTAAAAGTGGCGTAAAACCAAACTCAGTCAGTCAGTCCTTAAGGAGAATACTAAACATGTAAGATAATATAAACTAAATTTTAGATATATTTTTGTGTGCATGGTACAATGTACAACCATTGCCTGATTCAGTTGCTCCGCTTGTTGAAGACTGACAAGCATAGGTATCTAGGAAACAATTCTTTACCTGAATCGGATCAGGTGGCATAACAGGAATTGCTTTAATCCACAGTCAGTCTCAAAGACATGAAATCTGGAGGAATATGATTCCATCTTACCTTGTGTTACCTTACCCTGTTTGGTTGGGTAGAAGATTTGACTTTTCTTTTAAGTATATAATTACACAGTAAGACCTTGACATTATTGAGACAAATATTACCTGACAAAAAACATGATATCAGCTACTGCTACTTAAGCAAACCCATTCTCACTTACAGTATTTTGTTTTTGCTTTTTAATCACAAGAAAACCTTTTGCCCCTAATAAAAACTAGATGCCATTTTCCAACGTTTACTCAAAACCACATTGTCCTTGAAGCTAATGCTTTGTTAATAGCGCTCCCAATGGACTATCTCAGTGTTTAACAGTTGAAACATTTACCTATACATTTCCTAAGGTCTAGCACAGCTCTTTACAACCTACTTCTCACTCAGAAAATTATTTTTACTGTTTTAATAACAAGTATTACAGTTAAAATTCCTTGAACAATGCATAGTGTATGTTTCTTTTTGTGTAGAGTATATAGATGGGCTAGATAAGTCGACAAATAGCCATAAAAACAGTCGACGGCTACAGTGGAGTATGCTGACATTGAAGCAGTCGCAGTATGATGACAGCTGTTCCATGTGAAATACATAAAAATACAATAGTCTCTCTGTGAGACGGACAGCTTTGATGTTGTTTTGTCATTACTTGTTTCTGATGTGTCGCAATGGATGACTACATAGATACACATGTTCTAGTGGTTGATGCTCATATATATGATAATTGTGTACAAGCTGATTTACTCAGTGAAAACCTTTTTGCTTGTATTGTTGTATTTTGTTTGTGTCCTCATAATCGCGTTGTACAGCATTCCAATTCTTCATGTGATTTACATTTATGGCATGTGGGTACTGAGTAAGTAGATTTGTATCAGGATCTCCGTCCTTATTGATGGTGATAGAAATTGGTTTCATGTATTCATATGGGAACTGAACTCGCCTGTGGATAAAGAAGACGGTCACTTCACACTCCCCACAATGATTATGACAGTATATGTTACCATGGTTACAGATGAATATCAGTAGCTGTTCTAGTAGATAATGTGTTTTTGTTACAGATCTGGTTATAAAAACTATATACAGTTAAACGATTCTTGATCTAATATCACAGTATCTTACCATGGTATGACTGTTGAAGTTAAATGTGTCTTAAATGTTTTATTAAGAACACAAGTAGAAATATTTGAAAGTTTGTAATCTTTGGAATATGATTTGTATCCAGGTGAATACTATATTTGGAAATATAATTAGGTTAGATCTTTCAGTATGACAGCTGGCTTAATGTCGGAACGATTTAATTTTCAAGTCAGGGGATTCTGTGATCGGTTCTAAATTCCTGAAGTATTATCCATTCTGTTGCTGACATTGTTGATGCGATTATCCAGTTGAGCTGCTATTTCTTTGGTTGTCAAGTACATGTTAGATTGAGTTAAAAGATTTAACTTCACTGGAGGGCAAATCGGAGGAAGGACTTCGTACTGACTCCTTCAAGTAATTTGGCAGAGATTTGAGATAAGATTGAACATGTAAAAGCACTCACCTTCATTCTCAAGTAAGCATACGTTTAATAGATGTCGTCCATTTAAAGTGCTGCCCCTATCCCTAGCACTGTCCGCCCTTCTGTCAGCCGACTCTCCCGATTCTGTCAACTACTCCGGGACCATTACTTCCAACAACAGCAATCCTCAGCAGCGGTTGGCGATCGGCACGGCTCGTGTTGCGTTTCAAGCCTGTGATGGAATGGACGGATCAATAGGTCTATATGTCGTTGCCAGGAGCACCCAGCCCCTTCTGTGTGACATGTGAAGGACATTGACTCTGGCGATCAAGGCAGAGGCAGCAAGGTGTTCTCTCCACCACTGTGTCACCGATCTCTGACACCACCTGTAGCAGTGACTGTTGAATTGAATGGGAGATCTGTCACTTGGCTAATATCATATTCAACAATGTCATGCAGGCTTTCTCACTGGCTTCGTGTCTGATTTGTCACCACTAACTTGCTATGCTGGGAGTTTGGCCAGATTACCATCAGAATGGCTGTTTAAATGGAACACACTTTCCTAATCCCTCGTATAAAATGTGCGAGCTGGCAACCAACTGATTGAAGCCCGACTCCAATCTGGGCTTTGAGTGTCTCTGTCTTAAATGAAGGTGCTGGTATTTATAGATTATTAATGTGATTTATCACATGGGTGGTTTACAGTTTTCTTCTACAAAAACGTGCATGGAATAACTCTTTGGGTGATCAGTGCTGCACCAATATAAAATCTGCAGAGATATGAATGACTGGTTCATGTTTTTGCATATCTTGTGGGTAATGTAGTTTCTCTTGAACAAGAATTTAGAAAATCAGCAGATTGTTTTTCGGCGGAATCAGTTATGGATGTTGTGGAAAAGTGTGGAGTTTGTGACTCTGATTATATCAGTTTATTTCACTTTCTTTAAAACCATGTTTTTCCAAGTGGCAGTTTGTAACCATTGCATAAAATATTTGTTGTAAGGTTTCGTTAGCTAATTTTGAGTTTGAATTTGGATCAGGATCTGTGATTTAGGAGATAATGTAGGAAATAATAATGTGAGTGAGTGAATGAGCGAGTGGCTGGGTGGACGGGTTCGTGTGTGCGTGGGTGGCTGAGTGAATGAGTGAGTGAGTGAGTAGATGGGTGGGTAGATGGGTGAATGAGTCAGTGAACAGGTGAGTGGGTGAGGGGAAGGGTGTGAGTGAGTGGGTTAAAGGGGTGAGGGGTGAGTGAATAAGTCAGTGGGTGAATGAGTCAGTGAATGGGTAGCTGGGTGAGTGAGACTTGGTTGACACATGTCATCGGTTCCCAATTGTGCAAATCGATGCTCATGCTGTTGATCACTGGACTTTCTGGTCCAGACTCGATTATTTACAGATCACCGCCATATAGCTGGAATATTGCTGAGTGCGGCGTAAAACTGAACTCACTCACTCACTCATAAATAATGCATCAAGTTTACCTTCAACTGATAAATCTGTCTGTCTGAGAGAGAGCAAGAGATCAAGAGAACTGATGTGCTGGTCATGTCATCACGCATCATGGGTTTAATTCTCCATGGGGAACAATGTGTGAAGGAAGTTCTTGGTTACCACTGTCTCAGTATGTCCTGAATATTGCTTAAACTGGAGTAAAACCCTTGTCAGTGATTCACTCACTCTTTCATGATACCAAACATACATCCTTTAATCAATCCCCCTATTTCCCTGGGGAAGCCAACATACACAGCCTGGATAATAAGGATACTTGTTCTACAGGGTACATTTAATGCAGGTTAAATAGGGTACTTCTGATTAGAGATAATGCCATTAACGGGTTAATAATCAGGTCTGGACTAGACAATCCAGTGAATGACATCACAAGCACCGATTTACGCAATTAGGAAACAATGACATGCATCAACCAAGTCAACTAGCCTAACTAACCAATTTTGTGAGTCACGTCTTACAACAAGCATGGGTAGCTGAAGGCCAGATCTAACTCAGATCTTAGGTATGACAAGCAGAGCTTGCTGGGTCCAATTCTAACCCAGATCTTCACGGGGTATACAATAGTGGTGGTCCGATTAATTGAAATAATCGAAGATTGGTCGCAGTGACTAAACGACCGAGCAATCGAACATATTTTCTCATAATCGAACACGACCAATCTTGGAATACTTGTTTAATATTTTTCACAAGGCTGGTTTTGTCTGTGTCATTAAATTTACATTTCATAAGCACTACATGTACAAGCTCGTTCCAAGTCATGATTGAATTTATCTTAAAGAATCCAGGAAATATGTGTTCCTAACATACTAATCATCATTTAAATATGCAAAATTTGCAAATGGACTTTATGCAATTTGCAAAAAAACCCAAATTACTACATGTTTTTTCTTTATTTTTGTGTGCATTAACAAAAGTAACAGGAACATTTGATAAATGACGCTAACCAATTATTTTCGATGATTGATTGGTTGTAATGGACCAATCATCAATTATTAGATTTTAACCAATTCCCAACACTTAAGTATACAAGCATCATGTTGCATTATGATGCTTATTCTAACCAGTATCTTCTGGGATAAAATTGTTTCTGATGTGGCCTGTGTATCTCATACCTGGGCCTAGATTTTCGAAGCTGTCTTAGCACTAAGATAGTCGTAAGTTAATGTTAATGTATGGCACTTACGACTATCTTAGAGCTAAGACAGCTTCGAAAATCTAGGCCCAGGGCTTGGAGCGATGGGGTAGCCTAGTGGTTAAAGCGTTCGCTCGTCAAGCCAAACACACCAGGTTTGATTCCCCACATGGGTACAATGTGTGAAGCCCATTTCTGGTGTCCACTGCCTTGATACTGCTGGAATATTGCTAAAAGCGGCGTAAAACTAAATTCACTCACTCAGTAGTAAACCATGACGATTTCATGCTCATTTCATGGACATTTCAACTCACTCACTCATACCTTGGTTCAGGGCTGTGCCCAAGGGGGTAAAGTGTCTGCTTATGCCGAAGACACAGGTTTGATTCCACCCACTGGTACAATGTGTGAAGCCAATTTCTGGTGCCCTGAATGATACTACTTGAATATTGCTAAAGGTGGTGTAAAAACCTTACTCACTCACTCACTCACTCACTCACTCACTTACTCACTCATAATAATCATTCGTTTCAAACTCTTGTGACAATACATAATAATTGCTGCTCCAACATCAAACATTGAAATAAAGAATGACGTCCCTTTCAACAAGAATTCATAAAAATTGTTGTCTGCAGAAATATCCCCAAGCCCTGCTTTCCTTCATCATATGACTAAAACCACGCTCTTTGCAATACGCTAAACACAAGGTAGCTTCCTCAGAGGCCATCTTTTATTGATGGGGTAAAGTGTAAAGGGTGCCCATGTGCAAAATTTCTAATTTTCCATCTCTTTGTCGTGTCTTGGTTCTGAGGGCCAGCAAACATAGCCTTGTTCTCTGTAATTGGTTTATCTCGTAATCTGGCGTTGTCAAAAGAATAGGAAGAGGATGGATGTATTTTATGTTTTTGTCACTCTTTGAAGCCAGGAAGGTCGTCCATTTTATGTGCCAGTTAAGTCAGAAATAGTTAAAGCTGGTTCTGAGATTTCCACTTTTTGAGTCATCATTGATAGAAAGGAGAATTCTCTTTGGAAATAAGAGCTTTTTCACGAAATCTATGCATGATTTTATGGCTGCTAGATTGGTTGATCTTATGCGTAAGAACAGAAAAACACATGATTGTTAGAATTATACTCTGATCTGTTTTCTGGAAGCCATGATGACTCTTCTAATCTTTGTTTGTCACACAGAAGTAATGGTGATGAGAACTTAAAAGTCTAATGTTTTTGTAGGGCTTGAAATATTATTGTTTCGCTGTTTAGATGATCACAGCATTAAGCTTTATTTGATGTTTTTATGAGTCATTTCATTGCTTTTCAGGGGATTAGGTCCCCAATGCATCATATCTGTCTTTGATTTTACACTGGGGATTGGATGATCACAATGGCTATTACTATTATGGTGGATATGAGACTGATGATCATAACAAATGCATGTTTAACTCCCATGATAGCACTTGGGTTGACGACTAGGAAGAAGGACCACACGTAACCATGGTATTTTAATTTTTTTATTCAAGTTAAACCTATGGATCAGAAACAAGATCCAGGCCATAAGTCAATCATATGTTAAGGTAAAATTATTATCATTGTTGATAATACTCCAATCATATTGCACTGTATCCATCCCCTAATGCTCGGACCCGTGAAGGTCCGGGTTACAATTGGTCTTCAGTAACCCAGGCTTGTTGTAAGAGGCGACTATCGGGATCGGGTGGTCAGGCTCGCTGACTTGGTTGACACATGTGATTGTATCCCAATTGTGTAGTACGATGTTCATGCTGTTGATCACTGGATTGTCTGGTCCAGATTTGATTATTTACAGACCGCCGCCATATAGCTGGACTGTTGCTGAGAGCAGCGTTAAACAACAATCAATCAATCAAAAAACCCTAATGCTTGATCATTGCATTATATTACCCTAACTTGATGGATCAGAGTGCTCTCAAGTGACAATCTCATCTCCCTGAGAATTATACAACCCAAACTGTTATTTAGAAGCTGGAGCATTCACGTTAACATCCAAATGGGTAATAGTTGTCTTGAACTAAGTCTGTTGCCAAAGACCTGTCATATGTTTCCTTTCAGTAAAGTGCTGGCTATAAGCAAAGAAGCTCTTTATTGTGTTGTGAACTTTGCTATCCATACACCTAGACTATAGTCAAGTGAGCTTGGCACAATGATATTGACCTTGATGATTTTGAAGCCCTTTGCTTTTGATTTTGTAATTATAAAATGAATAAGCATGCCTTTTGACTTGTTTGGTTGGTTGGTTGGTTGTTTAACTCCGCACTCAGCAATAATCCAGCTATAAAGCAGCAGTTTGTAAATAATCGAGTTTGGACCAGGCAATCCAGTGATTAACAGCATGAGCATCAATCTATGCAATTGGGAACCGATGACACGTGTCAACCAAGCCAGTGAGCCTAACCACCCAATCCCTGTTAGTCACCTCTTACGACAAGCATGGGTTACTGAAGATCAATTCTAACCCAAATCTTCGCGGGTTTGACTTGATCTGAATGCAATTGGATAACACATGTTTTGTTTTTTTCAGTTTGTGAGATTTTACGGAGTCCTGTATCCATGCTTCTTTGTGTGTGTGCTGCTCCTGGCGCTCAGAGGTCACTTCCTGAAACTGGCATCAGGTGAGCCCCAGATTATACACTTACCACTTCATGATTGTTTCTCTACCAGAAAGTCAACCTTGAACTACAGTATATATACAAGAACCTATCTATATATAATGTATATCTATCTATGTATTAGTATGTAGTGATTATCAGAAAATGGTTCTGAATTTGTGACCAAGATTCATTCAAGACTGTCAAACTTTCTGTATTGCATTTTTCATTTGTCTCAGGTTATATATTGAACATATTTATGAAACTCTGAAACAGGGAGATGTTTAAAAGTTTCATGTTGAAAATCCTAATTCTTGAAGTTGTGAAATCCAGGATCACAGTTGATACAATCCTGACAGCAATGTGTAAATTGTTGAAAAATGAGAATTAATTGACTTTTTGACTCTCTATATATGACTCTTATGCCATATCTTAGAAGGTTGGACATTTAACCTATGATTCTCAACAGCTCAGCCTCATGTTGACGTTATTACTGATGTAAATAGATATCATATGACGGCTGCTGCTACATGACAGTTTGACAGTTGACACTACCGGCTGACATTGTGAAGTTGTCTTGCTGTCGTACTGTCACTGAGTAGTGACACAGTGTCTGTGTATGTCCACAGGTGACATATGCTGCCCAGGAGCTGAGGCTGTGTTTCTGTACAGTAAGCCGTTCGCTGTGCTGCCCTTTGTGGTCACCTTCCGATATGTTGCCAGGTAAATGAATAACTTACCAATTTGAAGCCATTCTTATTCTTTTTAGTACCGCCAAGTGCTTGCCTCTAGAATGAGGTCCTTGTTGGTAAACTTGTTCCCCAAAGACCTTGATGGTAGACTTGTTCCCCAAAGACCTTGATGGTAGACATGTTCCCCAAAGACCTTGATGGTAGACATGTTCCCCAAAGACCTTGCTGGTAGACATGTTCCCCAAAGACCTTGATGGTAGACATGTTCCCCAAAGACCTTGATGGTAGACATGTTCCCCAAAGACCTTGATGGTAGACATGTTCCCCAAAGACCTTGATGGTAGACATGTTCCCCAAAGACCTTGCTGGTAGACATATTCCTCAAAGACTTTGATGGTAGACTTGTTCCCCAAAGACCTTGCTGGTAGACATTTTCTTCAAAGACTTTGATGGTAGACTTGTTCCCCAAAGACCTTGCTGGTAGACATATTCCTCAAAGACTTTGATGGTAGACTTGTTCCCCAAAGACCTTGCTGGTAGACATATTCCTCAAAGACTTTGATGGTAGACTTGTTCCCCAAAGACCTTGCTGGTAGACATATTCCCCAAAGACCTTGGTGGTAGACTTGTTCCCCAAGACCTTGTTGGTAGACATGTTCCCCAAGACCTTGTTGGTAGACTTGTTTCCCAAATAGCTAGCTGGTAGAAATGTTCTCCAAGACCTTGTTGGTAGACTTGTTCCCTAAGACCTTGTTGGTAGACTTGTTACCCAAATACCTTGCTGGTAGACTTGTTCCCCAAGGCTCCTTGCTGGTAGACTTGTTCCCCAAGGCTCCTTGCTGGTAGACTTGTTCCCCTGGTAGACTTGTTCCCCAAGGCTCCTTGCTGGTAGACTTGTTCCCCAAGGCTCCTTGCTGGTAGACTTGTTCCCCAAGGCTCCTTGCTGGTAGACTTGTTCCCAAGGCTCCTTGCTGGTAGACTTGTTCCCCAAGGCTCCTTGCTGGTAGACTTGTTCCCCAAGGCTCCTTGCTGGTAGACTTGTTCCCCAAGGCTCCTTGCTGGTAGACTTGTTCCCCAAGGCTCCTTGCTGGTAGACTTGTTCCCAAGGCTCCTTGCTGGTAGACTTGTTACCCAAATACCTTGCTGGTAGACTTGTTCCCCAAGGCTCCTTGCTGGTAGACTTGTTCCCCAAGGCTCCTTGCTGGTAGACTTGTTCCCCAAGGCTTCTTGCTGGTAGACTTGTTCCCCAAGGCTCCTTGCTGGTAGACTTGTTCCCCAAGGCTCCTTGCTGGTAGACTTGTTCCCCAAGGCTCCTTGCTGGTAGACTTGTTCCCCAAGGCTCCTTGCTGGTAGACTTGTTCCCTAAGGCTTCTTGCTGGTAGACTTGTTCCCCAAGGCTCCTTGCTGGTAGACTTGTTCCCCAAGGCTTCTTGCTGGTAGACTTGTTCCCCAAGGCTCCTTGCTGGTAGACTTGTTCCCTAAGGCTTCTTGCTGGTAGACTTGTTCCCCAAGGCTTCTTGCTGGTAGACTTGTTCCCCAAGGCTGCCCCTTGCTGGTAGACTTGTTCCCCAAGGCTCCTTGCTGGTAGACTTGTTCCCCAAGGCTCCTTGCTGGTAGACTTGTTCCCCAAGGTTCCCCTCCTTGCTGGTAGACTTGTTCCCCAAGGCTCCTTGCTGGTAGACTTGTTTCCCAAGGCTCCTTGCTGGTAGACTTGTTCCCCAAGGCTCCTTGCTGGTAGACTTGTTCCCCAAGGCTCCTTGCTGGTAGACTTGTTCCCTAAGGCTTCTTGCTGGTAGACTTGTTCCCCAAGGCTCCTTGCTGGTAGACTTGTTTCCCAAGGCTCCTTGCTGGTAGACTTGTTCCCCAAGGCTCCTTGCTGGTAGACTTGTTCCCCAAGGCTCCTTGCTGGTAGACTTGTTTCCCAAGGCTCCTTGCTGGTAGACTTGTTCCCCAAGGCTCCTTGCTGGTAGACTTGTTCCCCAAGGCTCCTTGCTGGTAGACTTGTTACCCAAATACCTTGCTGGTAGACTTGTTCCCCAAGGCTCCTTGCTGGTAGACTTGTTCCCCAAGGCTCCTTGCTGGTAGACTTGTTCCCCAAGGCTCCTTGCTCTAAGAATCGGTTGTTCAAAGACCTTGCTGAGATCCTTGTTCCCCAAAGACCTTGCTGGTAGATTTCTCCTCCACAGTCCTTACTGTTAGACTTGCTCCCCTAAGTCCTTGCTGGGAGAATCAGTCGTCAAAAACCCAGGCTTGTAGATTTACCCCAAAACAACTTGCTAGTAAAACTGTACCCCAAGAATCTTGAAATCCCTCTTCCCTGAAACCACAAAGTCCTTACTGGTACTATTTGTCCCTCAAAATCAAAGCTGATAGAACCAACGCCTTAAAGTCTTAACTGGTATGATGTGTCCCTCCAGAGTCTTGCAGGTATATTTGTTGAACAAAGTCCATGGTAGCAATCAAAGTTTGTTGAATATTTAAAGTTTGGGACAAATAATCCTGTAATAGATATTGTGAGCATCCATCCACACAATCAGGTGGAAGCGATGTGCAGTCGATCAGTTCTCCTAGCCTGATCACTAGTAATGTTCCGATGATCGAAAATAATCGAAAATCGATCGAAAGAAGGATTAAAATTGATTATCGATTGTAAAAAACATATTTTCGATTAATCGGAATTTTGTTGTTTTTGTATAACACCCTTGAATGAAGTAAACTAGCCATCAAATTTGATGAATATTCATGAACTAACATGCACTCAACAGCGTAAAGCTATGCTCATTGTAAAACTTTAACCACTTTTATTGTTTAATTACAATTCCAGTGTCTTTCTTGCATGTGTGCATTTCATTGCATGACAGTATTAGTTATAAAAAGAAACATTAATTGGAAAAAAAACTGGGGAAACGCCCTTAAAATTGGTGATTACATTAAAAATCCTCCGATAGTCGATAGTGGATTTGGTTTCCGATTCCCAACACTACTGATCACCTGATCCATTTAATGTGATACATATTTTGTTATATTTTAAAAAAGGTAGAATAGGCAAATCTTTGTCTTAAGCACATGCTGTTAGTGACCTATTCTTCCTCCAAATTCCGAAAAGGAAGTAAAATTGTTTCATGTAAAAAAAGTGAAATATTTATGATAATATTGTTTGCATATACCTTTCATTAACTGTTTTACAGAATCATAATGACTGGATGACTTGCAAGTTTAAGGCTCTATTTGCCCTTCATCCCTTTAAATTGTTTTCATTTCAAACTTTCATGGCATGGAAACCACCTTTTTGCATTAATGAATACTCAATTACCGATTAGTTGAATGTTTCACAGATAAGTCCTTGTCCTGCTAACAAGCCATAAAGAGTTGCTTCCCTTAGATTGTAAGGTGTCTTGTGTTTACTTACTTTTGACCTTGAGACTCAATTTAGTCATGTAAAACTTCAAACACTCATCCACCTGACTCCTTATGCCTTTTTCCAGACATCCAAAGCAATATTTTGGGAGATAATATTATTTCAGAAATATTTAAGACAGTATTTATTACCCTTAGTTTGTTTCAAATCATGTAAATCAAGTAAAGTGATATATTCTAAATACTAAAGCAGACTATTTCAGATCAGAAGCTAAAGGGATGGGAACTGTTTTTGGTTTTTATTGGATAAATATTGTGTTGTATTCAAACCATTGTGAAAATGAACTTTTACATGTACATCTGGGTAGAGTTATTTTATTATTCTTATATATCAGTCAATCAATCAAAAACCCTAATGCTCGCTCATTGCATTATATTATATTACCTTAACCTGATGGATCAGTGTGCTCTCAAGTGACAATCTCAGCTCCCTGAGAAGTATACAACCCAAACTATTATTTAGAAGCTGGAGCATTCACGTTAACATCCAAATGGGTAAAGGGGCGGTGGGGTAGCCTGATGGTTAAAGTGTCCGCTTGTCACGCTGAAGACCCGGGTTCAATTCCCCACATGGGAAACAATGTGTGAAGCCTATTTCTGCTGTCCCCCACCTTGTTATTGCTGGAATATTGGTAAAAGGGGCATAAAACCATACTAAACACAAACTGAAAATGCACTGTACTTAGTTGAAATCAGATACAATGGTGGTCATACGTACCCTAAAACATATATATCCAAGAAAACCCGTGCAATTGTAGAACATGTGGGTCCCTGCCTAGCGTTCGGCATTAACGGGTACAACAAGGACTGGTTGGAGTCAGTATAATGTGTCTTGAGTGGGGTATTCATGCATGGAAATGTTCTTAAGTACGACGTTAAACCCCAATTCACCTCACCTAGAACATGTAACATATGTTATATTTGGGATTACACTTTCTTAGTAAAGTACATATTCTAGTCTTTTTAAGTTGAGCCCCATCCGGGATCCATATGTAATCCCAAAGTGTAATCCCAAATATAACATATGTTACATATGACCACTTTCTAAATGGCATTGTGTAATCATAGCTTTCGGCCGTGGGAGCCGTGCCAATTAACACTTATCAGAGGGGTACACAAAGCCCTGGGACTCCAAGCTTGTCATAATAGCTGACTTGAACTGTGATTTGGCGGATTACTTGACCTTCTGTGATGAAGCTCATGCTATCAACCACTGGTTTGCCTGTCCGAGATTTGATTGTTTGCAGCTGCCATGAAGTGGAATATTTCGCTGTAAAACAACACACAGCTGAATGATATGTATATGCTCTGTTTTCCATATCCTTACTTTCAGCTACAAGAATGTCGAGAAACTGCTCACAAACCTTGGCCTCCCGAAAGATGATAAAGAGGCTCTGGAGTCACGTGACCTGTGGTTCCAGGCCCTGTCATTCCTACTTTTCATCTCAGCATTCCTGATCTCGCTGATTCATGTACGGTTCACGCAGAGCATCATTGCTGTTGTCAGCAGGGTGCTTGGGCTAGTCTTCAGATGGTAAGGAGATGTCAAGCACGTGTTCATTTAACTTTTGGGGGCGGTGGGGTAGCTTAGTGGTTAAAGCGTTCGCTCGTCACGCCAAAGATCCGGGTTCGATTCCCCACATGGGTACATTGTGTGAAGCCCATTTCTGGTGTCCCCCGCCATGATATTACTGGAATATTGCTAAAAGCGGCGTAAAACTCAACTCACTCACTCATCTTTGGGGGCATGGTTGGCCCAGTAAACATTGGCACATGAATACACTGAACAGAGATGTGTCCATCCATTAGATATGCCAGAAACCTAGGATTGCAGGTTCAAGACTAAGATTTCTTGGTATTTTGGTACCAAATTCTCTGCTCATAGGTTTCAAAGTTGTTCACATCTAAGAAATGCATCACTTGAGGCTATGACTGACATTAAGCTGACAAACTGATATGACCAATTTCTTGAAAAAGCAGCACTAACACTCACTTAAGGTCTAATTGCATAGATTTTTCAATTAATTACATGCTTGTGGTAAGAAATAAACCATTTTTTGCAGGGTTCCTGAGTTTGTCCTGAATCTCAGTGTGTACGTGGAGGGGTGTGTGTGCGTCCTGGCACTGGTGTCGGCCATGACAGTGTGTGGATCTGTTTCAATCCTTCTCTGCTACTTCCTCATGGTGACAAAGGTCAGTATCTTGTACTATTCATACAATCCTTGTCAACATTGTATACTTATGCACAAAACGTTCAATTCATTTTCTCTTATTTTGAAACCTAGAACAGAACTGGAGCGATGCTTCTTTAGAAATGATATAATAGTGCAATGGATGGTCGTATAAGATAGATATAGCATTACATTGATTGGTGACAGTGTCAGTATGACAGTATCAGCTCATGCAGGGCTAATGGTAAGATGTAGCCAGGTGATGAGAGGTACAAAAGCTCATGGTACAGTGCATCATACTATATACCCCACCCGTGAAGACCCGGGTTAGAAGTGGCCTTTCAGCAACCCATGCTTGTCGTAATAGGTGACTAAAAGGATTAGATGGTCAGGCTCACTGTCTGGGTTGACACAATGTCGTCGTATCCCATTGTGGATTGATGCTCGTGCTATTGATCACTGGAATGTATGATCCAGGGTTGATTATTTACAGACCGCCGCCATATAGCTGGAATATTGCTGAGTGTGATGTTAAACAACAAAGCAAATTATATACACCAAGGACCTGATTGACAGCACGTTTATTTCAATGTCATAGCTTTCACACGTGTCTAATCATCTAGCGTGTCATCACTAGCAGACAATATATTTCCATTCAGGTTTAACACCTCTCATTGCAATTAGATATCCACTATCATGTTGCCAAGCTGCATTTTGAGATGATATATTCATATCAGTGGAGCACAGTGGTGTAGTGGTTAGCATGCTGGCCTCTCACGCCAAAGGCCCGGGTTTGAATCCCAGTGGAGACACCAAAATTTGTGACCTGGGTCTCATACTGTGTTGTGTCCCTGGGCAAGGCACTTCGTCCACATTGCACTCAGTCCACCCAGCTGTTGAAAATGGGTACCTGAGAAGCGGATGTACGGACCTATACGGTAGCAGCTTTGAAAGTACAATTCTGTCAGGGTAATAATGTAACGCCAGAGAACAGCATCGTGTTGGATTCTAGGTGCAAAAATTAGCCTTATTATTATCATTATCAGTGCAGATGCAATGGTAAGAAGAGTGATGAAATTGTTACATCATCTCTCAGCAGGGTAGGGGCGGTGGGGTAGCCTAGTGGTTAAAGCGTTTGCTCGACACTCTGAAGACCCGGGTTTGATTCCCCACATGGGTACAATGTGTGAAGCTTATTTCTGGTGTCCCTCGTCATGATATTGCTGGAATATTGCTAAAAGAGGCGTTAAATCGTGTTTATTTCTTTAATAGGCCAGCGGCCAACATGCCTCCCCTCCCCTCCCCCACCCAACCCAACCCACTTGCAAAGACCTTTTCGTGACAGAAGATAGCACTAAGAAGGAAATAAACATTCATGGATAATTCAGATTGTAGTTTTGCTTTACCTGAAATATATGATAAACAAATTTGGCTAAGTTGAAGGTTAATACTTCAACTTTAGTTTGTAGAAGACTTATAAACTTCATCATGTTTGGAGACTTGTATACGTCCAGAGGTAGGTAGCGATGTCTAAATGTCAAGTACTTAGGACAAACCATGATAACATGATATTCATCCTCTATGTCATTTTTGCAAAAAGGCATAATCGGTTTTCTAAAGCTAGTTTTGGTCGAGCCCATCTTCCTTTCTCAATCATAAGTGAATGAGAAGATAATCGTAGTCGTGTCAAGGCTACCCTATAGTTTATAATATCAATATGAGATAAATACTTTTCCATTGTAAGTGATGATTTGATAAGCAAATATATTCTTGTTTCACTAAGTGAGCTTAGATTATATTTCCACATTTGAGAATGTATATCAATAACCCTTTGTCTAAAAGCACTGATAAATGCTGTACAATTTAGAGTCAATTTCTGTTGTAACTGGATAAAACCATATCCATAATGAAACAACAAATCTCTAATGAGAGTAACCCATGTCATATATGTTGGATTCTGCCTAGCATTGTCGACTAGAGCCCTATATATAATGCTTATATATCGGTTTCCGTCACGGGATAATCTTAATCCAATATTTCACAATGCGTACCAATCTAATAGTAATCAATGGCAGTACGCCCATTTCACCATAGACAAAAGCTGATGGTGTTGATCTTTTAACATGCAGAACCTGCTTAATAAACTTTAAGTGGACTCTTTTCGATAGCTGGCTTCCATAAATCCCCAAACTTCAGAGCCATAGCATAAAATTGGCAGTACTAAGCTTTTAAATAATTGATACTGCTGCGCAAGAGGAGACATATATGGATTGGACAACAATATTAGATTATAACGAAAATAAGGATTTCATAGCCTGCTCGATAGAGTCTTTAGTGCCTGGGAAAAACTACCTGTTGCCGAGAAGACAATACCCAAATATTTGAAACTATTAACATTTTCTAGTACCTGATCACCATAATACCAGAGTTCTCTCTTTGACAATCTACCCCTTTTCTGAAAATAACAACCTTAGTTTTATCTGTATTAACAGTGATGGCCCACTTGTCGCAATATCTCTGTAAGAAACCAAGACCACGCTGCAAGCCCTCGACGGATTCACTGAACAAGACCATATCATCAGCAAATAATAACATAAATAGCTTGATGTAAAACACTGTCTTGCCAATATCATTGCAAGCAGAGAGATCAGACACAATATCATTTATAAACAATGAAAATAATATAGGCGATAAATTTTCCCCTTGCCTTACACCTATATTTGATGAAAAGAACTCTGAATACCTATTTCGGGAAGTTTAACACAGGAGGACACATCTAGGTATATATTTTTAATTAATGATAGAAATTTGGAACTAATACCCAAAGAATAGAGTTTAAACCAAAGGGCTTGCCTATCAACATAGTCAAATGCTTTTCGAAAATCCACAAAAGCACAATATAATTTCACCCCTTTACTCAAGGCTAAATTTATCAGTCTGTGGAGAATAAACATACAATCAGCCGTGCTATAACTCTTTCTAAGACCAAACTGTTCTTCTACCAAGAGGGAGTAATTATCACACCACTGTTTAACTCTGTTATTTAGAACACTCGTAAACAACTTGCTGACACAAGAGAGAAGTGTAATCCCTCGATAATTATCTGCAACTAATTTACTTCCTTTTTTATGAATGGGGACAATAACGCCCTTTCTCCATTCAGAGGGGTATTTACCAGATTTCAAAATAGCATTAAATAACATAGTAATTACTGGAGATAAGGTATCTTCTCCGGCCTTAAGGAATTCATTAATAATGCCATCGTAACCTGCTGCTTTATTACACTTCAACTTACTAATTGCCACATGTACTTCAACCGCAGTAATGTCACGGTCTAACTCGTCAACCCAGTGCTGGACCATACCGTTGTCAGATTTCCTAGTTACCTCGACCACATAACCATCAGTTAACTTTGGAACAATATCAGGATTCAACAACTTTTCAAAATACTCAGCAAAATTACACACACCGTGTGTACTATCAATCGACTTCGGCCTAACACTTTTCCGGAATTGCGTAGGGTTTTCCTTACACAATGTAGATAATAACCTAGCGGAATCTTTGGCAGAATTTCTACTTTTAATTTTACATGTTTTTACATGTTAAACCAAAGTCACTCACTCACTCTCAGCAGCTACATGAGGCAAAGTTTTCCACTTAGGACCCAATGAGAAACAAGTAATGCAGTGTAAGATGACATGTTTACCACCAGGTCCTGTGGCTGTGCAACAGGTGGGCCTCCACCAGGGTGAGGGAGGATGAATCCAAGTTCAACTTCTTCTTTATACTGCTGATGATATATCTCTGGCTGCTAGTTCTAAATTCACCGTCACTAGTTGTATGGGCCAAGAATTTCAGGTGAGATACAACAAATGTTTTTGGTACAATGTTAAATGTTGGATACTTTTATGCCTTATGTATGGTTTTTGTTATGGAGTAGCCAAGTGGCTATGTGGCTGCTTTCAGATCTTTCAAAATTTCCTGACATTATTGTTTCTTCACAAATAAGATCAATGTGAGTATTCATAATGCATCAACTTCGCACCAAAAACAATGCTTAAAATGAAACATTATTACCCAGGTCAGTGGATCAGTGTAAATTAGATTGTTATTCTAAACTCCCTGACCCGTGAAGATCCGGGTTAGAATTGGTCTTCAGTAACCCATGCTTGTTGTAAGAGGCGACTAACGGGATCGGGTGATCAGGCTCGCTGACTTGGTTGACACGTCATCGGTTCCCAATTGTGCAGATCGATGCTCATGCAGTTGATCACTGGATTGCCTGGTCCAGACTCGATTATTTAAAGACCGCTGCCATTTTGCTGGAATATTGCTGAGTGCCAGTGTTAAACAACAAACCAACCTCGGCTTCATTCTCTTCCCACAGAGGTTACTCCTGTCATATCTTCCTACGTAACCTCTGTTCTAATACGGCCCTTTCATGGTGTGAGCGTTCAAGACTCGTGTTGGAGGCAATCAGATTTAGTTGTGCAATCAGCGACGTTGTTTCAAGAGTGATCATTCGCAAGGCCTCGGTAATTTCCGGATTCTTCGAGAAAACTAAACCTCTTCCCCTGCGCGATGCGTAAACGTTTCTTCTAGACAGAACTCAGTCATGTTATGGCGGATCAGTGGCGTCTCCATCGCCCTCGTTGACAAAGGACAAGCTAGCCATTAAACGTCTTGTGTGTAATATCAACACAAGTCCCCGGCAGATGGGGGATATTTGTGGCCCCACATTTGCTTGTGTTAGTCAAGTTGAATCTAAGTCGATGTAACACGTGTTCTGATTGGATAGAAAGAAGGGAGATAATTTGTGTTGCGACCTTTTGCCCGCTAGGGGATTTTACGAGAACCGGGAAATATGGCCGTATTAGAACAGAGGTTCGTAGGAAGATATGACAAGTAACCTCTGTGGGAAGAGAATGCCTCGGCTTGTGAAACTTTGTTATCCTGCTTCATCCTCCACCTTTCTTAGAGCTGCTGGCGTGATGGAAACACTATATCTGATATTCAGCTTATTAAAAACAACCTTTGCTATTCTACTAATGATCATTATATTGTTTCGTTTGCAGGTATAATATGGCTCTGTCAACTGACCCTAGCAGGATAGTTGGGGTCATCACCAGTGTTGTATCTCTGCTGTATTTCATCAATGATAAAGTAGAATTCAACAAGTGAGTATCCTCATAGATTCTTTTTACTGTCAGGAACCCATTCAAATTTCATATTGCTAAAAAAAATGTATTGGGTTATACTGTTACTTGCTCACCCTGTCCCTGTCCAAAAGACATGCCTTGTGGATATTCAAGAAAAAAATTGACCTAACATTTGTGGATCTCAGCCCCCCCCCCCCTGAAAATGACTTAAGACCACATTGAAGATTTTCTTTTTGCGTTGATGGAGCCAATGGGGGGTCAAATTCTATCTTGAATATCCCCTGAACACCCCCCCCCACTCCCCCTTCAAAATTCCTGGATCCGCCCATGCCTAAGTTGATCGTAATAGATGATTTGGATCGAGTAGTGAGGCTCAGTAACTTGGCTGATTCCACGAGAATGTACCACAGTCATATAGATTATTGCAAGGATAGATAATTGTTAACAGGCAGCCAAACACTGTATTAAACAGCAAACATGCACACTCGTGCATCAACAGATGTAAAGAGGTGCATGTCACTAGGTCCTGTTTCATCTGTGAAGCTCTCCGCTGTCTAAGGTCTATCAGTTCACTGCAGATTTATGTACCTTACTCATGCCAGGATCTGCTTATCATGGGTTGGAAGTACAGATTTGGCCTGATTATGATCCCAGGTAGCTTGGCTCACTACAAGTGCTTGTGGTTTTATTTGGGGTATCTGTTATCTGCACCAACTTGGGTTTCCCCAACACCGACTGTGGTGCAATTGGAAGACCATTCCAAGCGACTTTCAACCAAACTCATTCTCTTTTCCTTTTTACAAACTGTTGATGTCTCTGAAGAACTTCCATATGATACATATCTGTATGTGAGAGTAAGTGAAGTGAGTTTGAAGTTGATCAGATTTTTTTAAATGCAGTTTCTTTTGTTTTAATGATGTGACAAAACCACTCATGATTATTGTGCATGTTTCCAGATCCAGCTGTACCATGGTGTCGTGGCTGTTGTACATGATGGTGTTTGCGTCGCTGCTGTATGCCATGGACTCCATCTACCGACTCTCGTACGTCATCGCCGCCGTGCTCTGCATCATTGCTATTCCCAAACTACAGGCTGTGGCCAGTGCTGCCATGTTTCCACCGAAGACAAAAGATGAATAGTCAGCATGCTGCCCTAGATGCCGCCGTCATGTCTATAATCTCATGTACTTTCACAGGTGTAGGTGTGTTTAGGGTGACTTGAATGACTGTTGATCAAAGAATGTTTGTTACTCAAGATTTTATGTCATCAAATAAGTGCTATCATATGTGACTTATTCATATGGATATGTTACGCAGTTAAGACTTACTTTAAGTGTAGACAGTTTGTGCATTCTTACAAGCTTCTCGAAGCTGCACTGAAATGATTTCTAGTTTTTAGCAGAGAATCAAGAAGACAAAATGATTGATCCATTAATCCAGTGAGAATCAAAATAAGGCTATTCAAGAATTTGAAACAGGATTGCTTTCATATTCTGCCTGTCATGGGACCCTTTGGTGTGTCTAAAACCTTTGATCACCCATTTTGACAATCCTACCAAATTAGTTCACTTGCCATTCTAAAATGACATTAAGCTAAAGATCAGGAAATACTGCAAAAGTGTTGTTCTTTTGTCCAAATTGGTCACAGTTAAGGTGAAAGGAGGCTTAAATGTAAGCATTGAATGTGACAGACTGGGCATTCCCCTGCAACAAACATTCCATTACTGATACATATTTTTATGCCCCCCCATATATGGCAGGGGGCATATAGGGTTACCCTCCGTGTCCGTCCGTCCGTACGAAACAGGGAATGTACTCTATCCACTTCTCCGCAAGAAATTCTAAGTGGAATTCAATGAACTTATACATTGGCTTTCTTGGGACTCTAATGGTGTGCATCTCATATTTTGTTTTTGTATTTCATTGTTTTTTTTGTAAGTTTAGAGACATTTGAACTTAGGTACATTTTGCTGAATTTCTCTATGATGATAGTGTAATAGGGGATGAAGTCTATCCACTTCTACACAAAAACTGCTCAACAGAATTGAAAGAACTTCTACATGTCTTTCGTAGGGACTCTAAAGGTGTGCATTTCATAATTTTTTATGCAATTTCTTAATTTTGTCACTTTTACAGATGTTTGAACTTAGTTGAATTTTGTTCTATTCAGCCTGTTCGTTCAATCCAACAGGGGGTGTTACGTTATCCACTTCTCCTCAAAAACTACTCTATGGAAGTCGTTTAGATTACACATGTGCTTTATAGGGACTCTAAAGGCATGCATCTCATATTTTGATTTTGTATTTTATTTATTTTTCCAATTTTAATGAAGTTTGAACTTACATAAATTTTGTTGAATTTCTCTCTGAATATAGTGTTATAGGGGATGAAGTCTATCCACTTCTCCACAAAAGCTGCTCATCACAATTGATTGAGCTTCTACGTGTGTTTCATTGGGACTCTAAAGGTGTGCATCTCATACCTTGTTCATCCAATTTCTTAATTTTGTCACTTCTACAGATGTTTGAACTTAGTTGAATTTGGTTCTATTCATCCTGTTCGTCCCATACAACAGGGGGTGTACTTTATCCACTTCTCCTCAAAAACCACTGCACAAAACTCATTTAGCTTACATATGTCTTTTATAGAGACTCTAAAGGTGTGCATCTCATATTTTGTTTTTGTATTTTATAGTTTTTTGTATGTTTAGAGACATTTGAACTTAGATAAATTTTGTTGAATTTCTCTCTGATGATAGTGAAATAGGGGATTAAGTCTATCCACTTCTCCACAAAAACTGCTCAACAGAATTGATTAAGCCTATACATGTGTTTCATTGAGACTCGAAAGGTGTGCATGTCATAGTTGCACAGATGTTTATTGAACTTGTTCGTGAATTTTGTTTAATTATTGATCTTTATATGTCTTATGAATGTCAGCGGGGGCATCCGTGTCCCTGGACACAATTTTTCTTGTTTATATATTCTTCTTGTTGTACAACAGATCTTTTCATGGTATTAAATGCTTTTGTATATTCAGCTTTGTGAAAGAATGATTGACAAGACCCTATTAAACATTCTATAGTTAAACAATACTTGCACACATCCATTCATTCACTAGAAATGATGGAATATTTAGTGATAAATATTTCATTAATCAGTCACAACCTATTTTTATACATTTACATACATTTAGTTTACTCAAAGAGACAATGCAAACATACTGTATTATTTCAAAACAATACAATATATACTGAAAGGCAAAAGAAACTTCGTAATATTAGAAATGACATTTGAGTATCAATGGAGTATTTGAACCTATTTTTTTAAATATACACCAGAAGTCAAGTTTGAGGAAACATGAATCGTGGTCGTATAGCCTGCATTGCCCAATAAAGTATTGTTTGAGATTGAAGTTAGAAATGTTTTTGTTTTTTGGAGAGGGAAAAGTTCCCACAAACACAACATTGAAATCGAGATGCACGTGCATCATAAAATGCATTCAGGCATAAATTGCCGGCTTGAATGGCAATCGTTCACTTGTTTTCTGAACACAGCAGCTATGACTAGGTTTAACGAGATCAACCACAACAAGCTATTGGACGCCTGCACGCTGGTCAACATGCTCGAAGTCATTGCTAATGACTTCAGTTACAGCGTCACGAACGATAGAGCGTCTTAGAGTGCGATACAAGCGCCACCAGCAGCACTGATGACCGTCCACGTAGTGGTCAACCCGATGTAACAACACGTCGCCAGGACCGTCATATCGTCCATCAACACGTGCAAGACCTATTCGCAAGGGCCAGAGAAACAGCTTGGGTGACCATAGGAAACTAACAGCGACCAGTCAGTGACCTACCATTCGGCGACGTCTCCAAGCCAGGAACCTGTTTTGTCGATGTCCTGCCAGGAGACCCATATTCACCCAACGTCACCGCCGGGAAAGTATCCAAGTGGACACAACAGCGGCAGAACTGTCGTGGGGGACAATGGAGAAAGGTTATCTTCTCTGATGAAAGTCGGAACTGCATTTCAGTGGCGTATTATTTTTAAAAAATAGGTTCAAATGTTCCATTGATACTTAAATGTCATTTCCAATATTACGACATTTCTTTTGCCTTTCAGTATATATGATGGATATTTAACTTTCTTTATTTTTTTCCCAACTTGTCCCTTTGCTGATCTGAGCAGTTCTGTCATGTGTTAATAGGTTTTTAGGGTGGACAAAACATGCACTGGTAATCTGTCAGTGTGTTTTGCTGCTGCAGTGCACCCCAACAACGATCTTTTCTTGAGTATGGCTACTTTCTCCCTTGGCTCAAAGTCGCTATGAGTGTATCTGCACCACACTGGATGTGGAATACGAGATATGATCAACCTCCTCGCTTCCATAGGAGTACCACATAACATCACAGATTTTCAGTTTCTCGCCTCTCTGGTCTTTAAAACCTGTTGTGACAATGGCGTCAGCTTTGCTTTGTGGTCAAAGAAATCTTCTTTGACCATAACTTCCAACAAGAAATGGGTTGATAGATCTTGCCTTTTCAATTAAGTCTTTGTTATCCTCTGGAAGCATTGGGACTTCTCCACGTTTTGCTTGATCCTCACGAGAAAGAAATGGTCGATAAACTGATAATGTCCAGCTTCAATCAAGGAACTCGGAAAAGCAATGATTGCTTTATTCTTATTTTGTCCCCCACGACTGTCAATGAACAGTACAAACTTTGTAGCTGTTGTTTTTCTTTTCTAAAGGGTCTTCTGCAAACAGGAACTTAGCTCTGATGAAGCTCGTTTTCCTGTGGTCACATCAGGAAATGTTGGGTGGATACTTTTAGATGAAACCACTTCATGCAATCACTGAAACAACAGCGAACTTTATACTGTCCTGAGAGCAAACAGAGAAGAAAAGCTTCGGTTTCATCAATCAGTCCTTGTAGAAAACAAGAGCTTCAATAGATGGGACATAACCGCAAATGTGGCATTTGTATTCTTGACAAAATGTGTCGGCTGTATTTTCTGTGTCACTTTCACCTGATAAATGTTCTTCTTAATCCTAAATAGTAACAAAATATGCATGAGTAATTTCATGAAAACACAGAATAACTCTCTTTATTGAAAATCATAGTAGGAAAACACCTAAAAGACTAGAACCTCCTAATTATCCTAACCCCTTCAATTGACGTGAATCATTGGGCTGGCGAATCTTGACTCTGAGCTGCAACAACTCAATGAGCTGGTGAAACTGAGGTCATTTGGTGATCAACACAACATTGTCTAACTTCTTAGAAAATATTATGCCATCTCTGACCCAGGTTCCGGCTGGTTGTTTCTTCGAGACGAGTGTGAGGGCTGATTGCTCCTTTGTGAAATCATCATTAATGAATGAGTTTAAGAACACTTTTCATTAACTTACACTTTATCCTGTTGGACATGAATTTCACTATAATCGGACGACTTCTGTTTCCCATGTACTTGTAATCACACTTTATGTGGTTAACTGTACCTGAAGGGTCTTCTTTAGTTGTGAGTATTGGTCTGCCATTGGCTTGGAGAATCTTCTGTATAGTTTTGCCTCTCTCATCAGTGTTGGCTTGGTGTTTTAGGAGTCGGCTGATTTGGTGGCTGGTTGGAGCTATGTAGGGCAGGCATTGATTGGACAATCCTTCCAGATATGACCTGTTTTCCCTCACGTGAAGCATTCCCCCAATTCAGTTGGTGATGATGAGAGGCTTCTAAATCGCTGACTCATGATAGCTGTCAACTTTCATATATCTTCTGTCATTTCTTCAAGCCGAGCTTCCAGGTGTGTCAAATGTTCCACCACATGAGTCCTTAAAGATTGTGATGGAGTTTGCCACTGACCCTTTGATGGGGTATAATTTGACTGAGAAGTAAGTTGGACACCATGGAACTCTTAACAGCCTGAGGAAATATCGTGTGATTATCTTTGAGCATTTCAAACATCTGGCCAAAATATTCCCACTTACTTCTTGAATTTCCACTTTTGCTGATATGCACAACTATCTTTCTGAAATGACTTTTCAGATCCCTAAATTTACACTCGGCATCATGCATTTCACTCGCAATGATTTGCCAAACAGAGACAGTGTACTCTGTCAATACCGGCATCAGTCGGGACCAAATAAAAATGCCGGTTTTGACAGAGTGCCGGTTTAGCTAGGTTCGCTTATGACGCCTATGCGCACACGGAAGTTCGCTGTCGTACTGTCACTTTAGCATTAACAAGATATTTGAATAAGAAACAAGGCAGTGTCTGAATGCACATTCATGTTGTTTAAATCAAATAAAAATGTCTGTAATCTCTTATTAAATTTCAACTGATCATATATTATCGGCAGAATTAAAATTATAAACTATTTTTCGCAATGTTATTGAAAACAACGATTCTTGTTTATGATTCGGCAGCGGGTCTACAATAGCATTGTCAAAGAGCAAAGTAACGATGTTTCAAACATCGAGGAAATCATTAAATAAATTGAAATCAACAATAACATTCATAAAAGTTGTCAAACGTACATATGTACTTTCTTTGCTGGTTTGTTTAACTTGTCCTTGTGTTCACGGTACTTCTTCAACAGCAGCTTCGTAGATCAGCAGTACCATTCGAATGATGTTTCGGTGAAAGAGTACTTTACTAAGTCCAAGCATAATTCCAAATTAGATCTGTAGGTGCAAAGAGGAGAAAAGCCAAAAATGTTTACTTTGATCGGATAATACATCTTCTCTGGATGTGTAGGTTAACATATGATCACTTAGAACATAGAGTTACTGCATGCTGACATGATAGTGTTTTTCAAGAGTAATGAAAAAGGTAACAAATTTCATTTCGCTGATTGCAGGCCTAACTTGTTTAATCGGATTTACGATATATACTGAAAGAAACAAATAAGGGAAGACATGAAAATTCAAGTGTTCCTTTCATATTTTCCAGTTTTCATCACCAGCTTTGAATAGCGCTGTGGGAGGAAATCTGAGAATAAAACAGGAACACTGCCATGAAGTGGAGACAAGTTAAATCAGTTGACTTATGAACATGAACAATAACAGTACAGTACTTTAAAGGTACCTAGGAGACAAAGTTATCAATATCCCCTGCAATGGAAAATAATCTTCATGAATACCTCAACTAGTTATGACTATGTCAAATGTTTTGGCGGGTATGTAGCTAATTTCTTTATAAATTTGTTTTAGATCAGGAACACTTTTGAAAGCATTTTTGTGACTTTGTTATTTCTGAATCTTCAATAACTATATTGGATTATTAGATAAGGGTACTTGTAACAGATAGTAACTTTGTACATTCTTCTCTCTTCAATCATGCCGTCATTTCTGAACCTGGTTTCACTATAACAACTTTCATCACTTTACCTAATGTTTCATGGGGGCCGTGGGGTAGCCTAATGGTGAAAGCGTTGGCTCGTCACGCCGAAGACCCGGGTTCGAATCCCCACATGGGTACAATGTGTGAAGCCCATTTCTGGTGTCCCCGCCCAGTCAGTCAGTAATGTTTCATGATCCATATGTTTCCATTTTACTTCAATTTGCCCAATTCTGTGGGTAGGTTTCCTGTTTCATACACTTTCACTTGTAATGGATGCTTGTGAAGAGTTAGTACACAAGTCTTTCTTGCTGTCTGGTGTAATGATAGGTCCACCTAATGACATCAACTTTTCTTTGTTATCTGCAAGGGCTTGAGAGTTTTGAAAGAACAGATGCACCACATCAGTGGGAAAAGTGAAAGTGTCAGTATTTTCCAGTGATTGCAGTTTTCTTACATCCTCATCTTCTACTTTCCCAACACAAATTCTTGACAGTAATTTTGAAAACTCAGGATCTCCTTTCTGCAGAACAGTTCGAGTTAGTTCATGCAGACAAAATGGCTTCTTCCTAGCCTTGTCTTTTCTTCATCTACTGACATGTGCTTATGTGATCTTTCTTGATGTGTCAACATCTTCCTGGCTTTGTCCTTTCTCTAGGAGCTGCTAATTTGGACACTGATCTGATTTCATCCTCTGTTTATTGTTCTCTCTATTTATTGCTAACTTGGATGTAGACATGGTTAATGGTCTTGTCTTACTGGTTGGGTTCAAGATATTGTCCTCACCATCAAGTTTAAAATATGATAAAGGAGTTCTTTCTGATTTCAGATGTATGACATTTAAACATAATTAGAAATCATATCAGAGACAGGACAATATGATTGTAAATCTTCAAGATATTGTCCTCACCATCAAGTTTAAAATATGATAAAGGAGTTCTTTCTGATGTCAGATGTATGACATTTAAAAATATTAGAAAATCATATCAGAGACAGGACAATATGATTGTAAATCAACTCATGGCAAAAAACAAAACTAGATTTGAATGTCAACAAAACAGTTTCTTCTTCAAACTGAAAATATCATAAAGGAGTCCTTCCTGACGTCAGATGTATGACATTTAATAGTCACATGTTTTTTAATAGTCACATGTTTGTTATTGTCGTTTATTTGATATCGGGCAAAGCACTTCCAAGTGGAGATGTTGCCTCCGTGTCAGAAGTGCTTGTGATGTTGACTAGCATAAATTGCAGGCTCAAGACTGTTTATTACGTCATCAATTCCGTTGTACATCATGATGTGTCACGCATTACACATATGGTCTAAGGGAGGCAACTCCAACTGGCCTATGTCACAGTGCTTGGAGCCTGTTTGTCTTCGGTAGATTCATCTTCAAAATCATCAGTGAAACAGGCCATGTGTGCATTAGATAGTAGCTTTAGCATATATGCAATTGTTTGATCCTTGGCAGCCAAACTCTGGTTCAGTCGAAAGATCTTTCTCTTCAGTTCCTCAATTTGTTGCTTCAGTATGTCTCCCCTACCAATCAGTAGATTGGATGATCTTCATCGGCTCAAATCATATTTTGAAATATCTTTGCAGGACATCTTGAAATTACCATATAAACTTTAAAAGACAAACATTTGCAAAAACTGAATCGGATGAGAGATATTGCACTTTTATTAGAAAAATGGACATTTGTAAGTACTGACTTGAATAACAAATTAATACAATGTATTGTCATCATGTACACATAAATCCAGATGTGTAAGACAGTATAAACATTGTTGTTAATATTGATCTAACGAAAAACATACAGATGTAACTATCCATATACTAGCATGCTTGTATCAACAACAGACTGCCTGAGTGCTTCCACGGTTTGATGTACCTCAGTAGTGTTGACACTGTTGATTTATGCCATTATGTTCTTGAATACCCACAAAGTGGAAAGGTTTTATACAGTTCTGCTCCAGAAAGGAGCACTACCACCAATTTCAGTTGACGTCAAACTTGTTGCCATGGAGACGCAAAAAAAACATTATATTCAGAAATCCAAAACTACCAAAGGCACCAGTTCACCACCAGACCTATCATGTGAAAAGTTTGGTGAAGAAATAATAAACGGTTTTAATGTTCTGCTCCGGAAAAGAGCAGCAACACCAATTTCAGTCAAAGTCAAATTTACTCTCTCATGAAAGACATAATGTATTGAAAGTTTTCTGTATCTCATCCTCTTGATAAGGTCAATGCATTACAAGTTTCAAACCGTTGAACAGAGGTTGGTACTGCCTTTAGACTGATACACTATATTACACTGATGGAATTCTAGATGATATTTCTGACCTCTCTAATCTGTTGTGATGTTAATTGACAGGAATCTTTTCTTCACCAAGGCAGACTTGCTTGTTCTGTTGTTCAGGAAATGTTTGATTTTTAGCTCACAACACTGAAAGTCAAATGAGCTTTTGTGATGGCCTGCTTGTCCATTGTCCATTGTGAACAGCATCTAAACATCTCAGAAATCATTGTATCAGTAAAACTGTATAATTTACATAGCATGCTTATAATGTACTGTGGAGGCCAGAATTTCAGAATGCTATGATCTCATGTTTAAGTCCTACATTTGCCCCGATTGCAGTTCTGAGTTTCACAGCACCATACCCATGCTTGTAGCTGGTAAGTTGCACCAGGGCCCACTTGCACAGAGCAATCTTAGCGCTACAATTATTGTAAATCTTTAAGATCGCGATCTTAGGCTTCGCTACAATCGCCATCCACTTGCACAAAGCGATTGTAGGCTAAGATCATTGTAAGTTACAATCGAAACTTACAATTGGTCCTGACTTGCAGAAAACTGTAGACAGGAGTTGAGTTTAAGAAATTTGTACCTCCACCGTTGAAGAGTTTGATCTTAAATACAAGCCGTCTTACAATCGCACTAAGATCGTCTTTGTGCAAGTGGATTAGCGTAATTGTATGGTGATTGTAAACTTGATTGTAGGGGCCTAAGATCGATTGTAACTAAGATTGTTCTGTGCAAGTGGGCCCAGGTCTGTGACTGGCTTTATATCAAGTGCTCTACCCACAAAGCTGGAATACAGTACAAATTTGCTTGAAAATCACACTTTTGTGTGATGGTCATCTAGCTCTGTGATACTTTGTACTGATGTTCCCAAACATTCATGAGCGTATTTGAATGAGGATTGGATGATGTCACTGATTGCGCTTGTCATACAACTGATATTGTTCAAGATGAAAATGTCTGGGAGATGAATGATCAGCTATATGTCCAAAACAAACGTAAACAATATTGTTGCTATCAAAAGTTGGACGGTCCAACTTATATTCTTGCGATCCATTATCTGTCAGTTACCTTGCAATACTGACAGTAATTTGTACTGTTTTACATATCCTCTTGCTTGTATATTTTGTCTTCTAGGATGACGCATTCACCAATAAAACCATTCCATATCAGTTCACCTTGGAATGTCTTTATTTATTTAAGTTCTTGTATCAGTACCCAACTTTCCAAAGGACAATTTGAAAAGCTGAACTGCAGAAAGAAAGTTTAGTAAGTTAAATGTTGCAGAGAAACTGCATGTGGTGATCCTTAGCTTAAGCTGTATGGAGACATCTCAGACCGATGATCATGTTTGTCGTCAGAGGTGACTAAACATTGACTTGACATAGCACAATTCAATGCCAATAGTGAATGAGTGAGAATATTTTTCTCGTAACATTTTCGGCTCCCTGGGGAGTATACAACCCAAGCTGTCTTTTAGGGTCATAATGCCATCAACATTACCATCTAATCCAACAGGGTTCTGCTGGGTGAATAAGTGACCTGTGTAAGGAGATGCTGCACCCAATAGGCTTCTCACTTTGTACCCTTGTAGGGATTTGAACCCGGGTCTTCGGCTTGACAAGCAAACACTGTAACCACTAGACTACCCCACTAGAGGTCTTGTATATCTCCACTCTGACTCCTGTTGTTTGAGCTAAGAATGGGTTATGGGGTAGTTAGTACAATGTGTGAAACCCATTTCAGGTGTCCCCTGTCGTGATGTTGCTTGAAAACTGCTTAAAGCAGTGTAAAACCCAACTCACTTGAGCTACAAATATGAAAGAGAACAAACACACATTACATTTACCATTATTCAGAATCACGCATAAAAGTTTATTTTTCATAACTGGCATATATCATTCATACTTCCGTCCAATTGTACAGACTCGGCTCACATGTATGCCACCTATTTGTTATGTATCGTCATCAGTATTTCAAGGCAACCAGTCGTTTATTATCACTTTCTCAGTAAAGTACAAATTCTAGAGTTTTTTAGGGGAATTCAATACTGACTCAAACCTTTGCTCTTAGACTGAGACACCAAATTGCCATCACACAAAGTCAGCGACTTTACCCACGCAGCCACCAAGGATTCCACAAATTTGGCAACTGGTAGTCAGCTATTAGATGTTGGTTCAATCCAATCATTGCTCAACCCAAAAAAGTACTAGAATTTCCACTGTACTAAGAAAGTGTAATCCACAAAATATTGAAAGTATCTGCAAAAAATAACAATATAGAAAAGTATCTTGTCACAGGGGATGTAGGAGCACTGTAGATAAAGATAAGGGACCATTCATACCTCCTCTCTCCCCCCAACCCCCCTAAAATTTATGCACAAAGTAAGTGAACCCCCTGCATGTCATGTACAAAGTCAATGCCCATAATTTTTAATCATAACTTTTAAATATTCCTATGTACGAAATTGTTGACATCCCCCTTACATGTGTGCTAAATTTGATTGTCCCTGCCTGGCCCCTACACCCCCATCACACTATAAAACCACAACAAATCATCATACACACGCATGCACGCCATTTCTCTTTACACGTCTCTTCCTCCCCCTCCTTATGAACTGTCCCCTAACACTTTTCTGTCATCTAACATCATGAAGTATGTCCCAGATCAGCTACGCCACATTAGCATCTCACTTCTAGTACAGTCTCTCCCCACAGTGACAGATACATCTCACTGATACAACCTACCAGGTACCCACATACTGCTGCACATTAAAATTTCAACATTAAAACATTACACACATGCAGAGATGACATGATGAAATACAATGATATGTCCATATTTGTATTTTACACATATTTCAGACAGTTCAGTTAAAATGTTCTGAAAACAATGCTGTAATATTAAATTCCCACAAATCATACTATATATATATATGTTTCAACAATATCAGTGTAAAATTCAACAGATGAGGCATATATATTAATCACTACAGGTAATCTGTACACGAGTAATACATGGCACAATACCCAGCATAAAGAAACCGTAGCCTTTCAGAGAGTTCAGAGAATCTGATAGCCAGTCTTTCAGTCTAAAGCGTTATTATTCATTGGTATGGTGGGTTATCAAGAGTCATGGGTTATCATTTAGAGAACATGGTGGGTTATCATTCTGCCTAGTGTTATTCAAAGAATCTTATGGTTATCATTCAGAAAATCTATTAGCTTTCAGGGATCTTTTAAAGTTCTTATTTTCTTACCTTTAAAACTAATTTAACATGACAGTCTGTGTGATAAAGTAAAACTAAGCATGGAGCCAAGTCCTATTGTTTGTCTAGTTAACAGTGAAATACAAATTGCCTCAACAAAGCTATGAATATTTACGTATTGGGGAGTAATTGATCCAATTTAGGAACTTCCTGAGGAAGTGGGTGGACCATCAGCCTCTAAATCCCTGGCTACCATCCCCCAACATCATAGGTCATTGCTCATTCCATCGACCACTGGTTGAGCCTGGTATCATGGTACAGGCTGTCGTGATATAGCGGGAATGTTGCGGAGTATGGCATAAAACCAATGAGGAATATGAATGATCATATCATGGATAGTGTAAGCCATGTAACAAAATGATCCAATATTGCAATCCAATAAAATTATGCAAATGAGGACCTACTTTTCAGTAGGAACTACTTTCAAAAAGTTCTTGTTCAACATAGTATTGCCATACTTTCCATTTGATTTGAGGCAGGTGTTTCTTGATGTGTCGATGTTTCCGTTGATAAATATGGCTTCAAATCATTTGGAATGATATTATTCATTTGTGGTTTCTAAAGTCATTCATATTCATTCAAAAAATATCTTAAACACTTCTTACACATTGATAAAGAGACCATTACCCTCATGTGTTTCCTCGTCATAAATATCATATATTAAAATATGAAAAATGATATAGAATAAAATTTAAAACAGGAATGAGAAATATGGATTCTACTTTCCATACATGATTTTTAATCCTGATAGTGAAAAATGAAATTTATGATATGGTAACAGAGAAGGATAATAATCTCAATTAATACATGTTCACAAACTTGTTTCCACTCACGATTATACGATCCTGTAAGATGCCAATATTCAAATATAAAACGAATGAAAATATATATATTATGACAAGTGTTTGTATCTTCAAGAGGTAAATCTTCATAAATAACATTCTGCATTGATAAAACTTGTAAATCTGTAAAAAGTCTGACTTTCCCTTGAGACTGATGCTGCGGTGGTTGACAAGGTCTCCCATCTACGCTTGGGCAAGGAAGGTGGAGATGAAGACACTGGTGTCGATGTTGAGGGTCCCGTGCCACCAACGGTCGGGGAAGTATATCAGCTGCAACAAAAGGTATGGTATGTAACCAAGACAACAGAGTCCTCTTTTCACGTCATGATGCTGTTTGGAGCAACCCTATTCAGTTGGACATTATGCTGTGCAGAGTTGTATCCCCTAGATGTGCCAGGATTCAATCATCATGGGTTGTAAAGAGATCTCCAGAGGCAGAGGTTGTGAAATTGGGGACATGCACAACCTAATTTTTATCCACTGAATTACATTTCCATTTTATTATAACCCGTGAAAATCCGTGTTAGAATTGGTCCTTAGTAACCCATGCTTGTCGTAACAGGCAACTAACAGGATCGGGTTGTCAGGCTCGCTGACTTGGTTGACACATGTCATCATATCCTAAATGCGTAGATTGATGCTCATGATGCTGATCACTGGATTGTCTGGTCCAGACTCGATTATTTACAGACCGTCGTCATATAGCTGGAATATTGCTGAGTGCGGCATTAAACAACAACCCACCACGACAAAGGCCATGCTCTTAAAATTTGAAAACGAGTAAGGCAAAAGATATTTGAGAAAGGTGCAGGAGAGTTTCCACTTTTTTAAAGGTGTGCACTGTCATACATACATTAGTTTTCGTATCAATTACATGAATAAAAGAAAAACTTGATGAGTTACTTATCATGCTGTGAGATATTGTGGCTGTGAATGTCAATTATTAACTGCTGAACAAAGAGTATTGTAACCATCATACTGACCTCCCCTTTAAAGTATTGTAACCATGATACTGACCTCCCCTTTAGAAATGGTACATTCCAGAGGTTTGTTCATATGATCCAGAAGCGGGTAGTCCTCAATCAGCCAGTGGAGGGTTGTCCGGTTGGGATGAAAGTCAGGGGTCTCATCTGGGGGGTACATAAACCACCTCTGGAAACACATGATCATCCATGGATTAACTAAATGATGGCACTGATAGGCAGGGATAAATACATTATGATTGTGTATCTTCATATTATGATGGAGTCTGAACATGTACATGTTCTGTGAAGTGTTGCTGCATTAGTACAACAGACAACAACATATACAGTACAACCAGAAAATTATTGAGAAGTTAAAGATTGTAATATTTAAATTTTTTCACTCATTACTCACGTATTAAATGTGAATATTAGCAGAACATAACTCCAGATTCAAAGACATTTTCTATTGGATTTAGGTCAGGGTTATAGCTTGGCCAATCTAATGTCATATTTTGGGTCCGAAACCAGGCCTGTGAATGCTTTGAACGATGTTTTGGGTCATTTTCGTGCTGGAAAATCAGAAAATTTCCATAGAACACGTGAGCAGATGGTAGTAAATGTCCCTCGAGAATATCTGTGTACCGCTCTCTGTTCATATTCCCTTCAAATACACAGAGGGGCGTTGCCCCTAACACAGATATGCCACCCCACACGTTAAATCTGGGACTGTACTTTGGGCACTGATACAAAGGTTTTTCAGTTTGTTTGGTCCAGAATTTCAGTGTATTAGGAAACAGCCACACAGAAATTTCATCTGAGAAAATCACATTGTCCCAGTTAAAATTTCTATGCTGTTGGCACCAGTTCAACCTTCACTCCTTTTGTTCAGGTTTCATGATTGGTGATGGAATTCCTCGACTTTTCTTCCAACCCATTGCATGCAGCTCAGTTCTAATTGTCTCCTTACAGACAGCCACAGTTCCTCTATAAATCATATCCAGCCTTAAGTTTTCTAAACTCCTTCGTTTGTTTTTAGAAACAAGAATACCAAGACGCCTCCTGTCACCGACAGTCAATTTTCTGGGCCTACCTGCGCCTCCCTGGTGCTCAATGCCATATCCATTTGCAATATTTTTCAAAACACGATAAACAGTGGACAAAGGGATGCCTGTTCTACTTGAAATCACTTTAGCTGATCTGATGTCCTTGTTATAATACTCTAAAATCAACTTCCTCTTCTCTAAATCATCCATACTGAGGATCACTGAAAATGTCGTCTGCTAGCAAGTAAACAAAGGGGGATAACTCTTCACAAACTAATGAAAAAGGATTAACGGAGTTGTCTGTCTTGAATGAAACCAAGCACTTGATAGCTGGTCAAGGTTGTTTATACTAGAAATCCAATTAAACATATTCCTAAAATTCTCAATAATTTCTGGTCATACTATGAAACATACCAACACCTGATCTCATCACACCATCATTCCACGAAAACCCACCTAAATATCCTACCTTCTACTAGTAGGTAGGAAAATAGATACTGCATTTGTGTAATGAGTTTTGGCCTCCCAATCTTGATTTTCTTTGCAAGATGCATCTTTGCTATCTTCAGATCCATCTTTGCTATATTACAGATCAATTTTGCTATGTACAGATCAACCACTGTTCTCAACAGAACCCCCTATGTTCTCTACAGATCCTTCTTGCAGATCAGTTATTGCTACCTACAGACATACCTTTTCTATTTACAAATACATCTTTGCTACCTCCAGAAATAGATCATCACTTGAGTTGCTCTTTATCACAAACAGGGACTTAATTAAAGAAATCCTCACCTTTCGTCCGAAAACAACTTCTCCAAATCCAGGCCCATGGAAATGGAAGGGCACCCCAGTGCCCGCACCTGAAGCACAAAACAGACTACGTTTATATTAAGTGACTCACATCAGTTAAATCAGTTTGATGCATGGAAGGATACACTATAGTGATTCAGATCTTCCACACCAACCAACATTTCCCATAGTGGTGACACTCACAATCATGGGCACAGTGCTGACAAGAACCTAATAGAATAGGGAATCTAACTCATTACATAGCTTTTTTGCATGCTTAAGAGAGAGTGAGTTTAGTTTTACGCCGCACTCAGCAATATTCCAGCTATATGGCAGCATGCTTAAGAAACACAACCCTGTATATAAAAGTGACTATTGTGACCATCAGATACCCATCGGCTTGAAAGTGTTTATTGTATTGTGAGTGTTACCTGCCAGACCGAAGCTGTAGACGGCAGACATCTTGGGCAGCCTGTAGGGAGGAGGCTTGTACAGGCTGAACAGGGTCTCCCACTCTGTGTGGTTGTTGTCTCCGAACCAGTAGAACGTTTCTGTGAGTAGTTCATGTCTTATCAACAGAGTTGAATATAACTTGTTTGTTTGTTTATTGCTTAACGCCGCACTCAGCAATATTCCAGCTATATGACAGCGGTATGTAAATAATTGAGTCTGGACCAGACAATCCAGTGACAGAGATCATGAGCAATCCAGCGATTGAGATATTGAGATCAGGAGCATTGATCTACGCATGACATTCATCAACCAAGTCACCATGCCTCACCACCCGATCCCGTTTATCGCCTCTTACAACAAGCATGGGTTGCTTAAGACCAATTCTAACCCGGATCTTCACGGGTGGCTGAATATAAATGGCAATATTGAGAATATCAATTTGAGGGCCTGAATGTCCTTCCCTGTCTCTCTCAATAATTGATACAGGGTCCTTGAAGACTTTGGAATTCAATACTCAGGTCCAACACTTCAAGATGTATGGTGCCCCAAAAACTTGAAATACAATCACTTTGTCAATTTGCATAATTTGCAGTTCTGCCCAAAATGCATATGCAAACATAGACACTTATGCTATTGTAGTATCCGTACTTCGGCGTTTTGTAACATAATCATTTGTACATGAAATTACTACACACTATTAACAAATATAACTGAGAACAAGGAAACTTTATGGAATAAGTTCATGAAGCCTGGCTTCAACCATGATGTCAGCAACTCACCGTTCCCGAGCATGTCAAGTGTCTGTGGTTTCATGATGTCATGGACATACTTGTGTAGACTCACATCCACTGAAATGTAACACAACAAAATAAGGGATAAATCGTTTCCAGACAGGTGCTGTGCCAGACTGGTGGGACCATTTACATACTCGTGGCTTCAAACAAGATACACACTCAATTCATACACTCAAATACTCAACACTTCCTGATTATTTAATAATTATGAGACTGAATGACCATAAATATGAACATTACTGGAGTAGACATATTATGGTCTCTAAACTTTCAGCATGGAAATAGTGGTCCAATTAGAATGTAACTGCTGATTTACACTTTCTCCACTAGATGTTAAGGGCAATCCAAGTTCAAGATCAAAACAGGATCGGAACTGTAGGCACACATAGACTTTCCATTCAGACAAAAGTGGAATGTAAAGGTTCAAAATGGTTTTGCAACCAGTATTTGACTTCCAAGGTGACCACATTGAAATTTCGACTGCCATAATATTAGCACATTTGGGAGGCATTGTTTGGGGAATTGTTGATTTTCTGTTTTTGTATGTTTGTTTGTTGTTTAACGCCACACACAGCAATATTCCAGCTATACGGTGGCGCTCTGTAAATACTGGAATCTGGACCAGACAATCCAGTGATTAACAGCATGAGCATCCCCATCTACGTAATTTGGATACAATGACACAGGGATTTACCTTGAGTACTGTATTTTAGGGTCCCTGGGATTAATACTATTAATTTTGAGTGGTCCTGGACTACAAAGGGGGCCCAGACACTTAAATATTATTATTATTACTGTTATTGTATAGTGTATCATGATCACCACATTAAATGTTACAGTAAGTAAATTGCAAATAATACCATAACCCAGCTAGTAGCAAACTCAGTGATAAATTATTGTTACTTGATTGGAATTTTTACAAAAGTTATTTGGACTTTTCTCGTCCCTTTGGACGTGTTAATAAATTGTTTTTCGTCCATTGTCAATTTTTATCATTATAGGATGCAGGACTTCGCGTCCTGTAAATCCCTGATGCCATGTGTCAACCAATTCAGCGAGCCTGACCACCTGATCCTGTTAGTCGACTTTTACGACAAGCATGGGTTACTGAAGTCCAATTCTAACCTGGATCTTCACCAGAGTTCTTCATTCTGAGCTTTACTGGACTCATTGAAAACTGAGAAAGATAGACAATAAACCACATACCAATGTAAACAACTACTAATCATATTTGTGTTTACCTTTATTATAGGAGTATGTGTTTGCTGAACTGAGACGTATCTTCTTTGTTCCATGCTCGGATAACATGTAATCTTTTCTGCAGGCATCTTGAAACTTCTGAAATGTTATGTCACTTTTCATTAGTGAAATTATTTAGAACAATATATGGAAGGTCATTTACTTACTAATATCATATACAAAAGGAATTAAGGACCATCAATTTTCTTCATACTACCAAACACATACAATTGTCAAGACATAACTATAGTTATCCGAAAGAATTTGGTAGTCTTACCTTAGAGTAGTATATTTGAGTGAAAGATTGTTAACCTCCCATATAACATGGCACAAAATTTTCTTGGTCTGGCCTAACAGTTATACAAGGAACATCAATGGAGGAATTTATGTGCCCGGAAGGACCTCAAAATGCTAAGTAACACTTTCAAATCTGAAAACACCTACTGTCTATTTCTTACATGTTGCTTTTGCTACTATCGCTGATAGAATTTACACATAACAATGCTGGTAAAGGTTCTGCCCCATGCTACACTATACTCACTGTGTTATCAGTTGCGTGTCGTATCACAACCGGCTGAGTGAAAGCATATCTAAAAGAAATTATAAATTCAACATCATCATCATCATCATCATATAATTTAAATCTTGACACGATGGAATGGATCACACAAAAGGTATCCAATTAACTGTCATAGGTAGAAATTACTGTCAATGTCTGCCAGACCAAAGATTGACAGTATGTAACATGCACCACATTGCTTTGGGAAAAATATTAAAGGAAGGACAGTCATTTGATGACCAGGATAAATTTGTCCCTGCAAACCAACGAGACTATGAGATAACTGAATGGATCTGATGGTGAAGCTTGGTGACCTGGGCCCCGTTTCACAAGCTCTCGTAAGCCTAAGATCTTGTAACTATTCTCGTAGCATTCGTACCTCCTATACTGTAACATTGAAGTCACGAATGTTTTGAGAAAAATTGAATCTTGAAAAGTTTAGAGAGCTTAGTAAAAGCGGTAATAACGGAACCATGGCTGAGTGCTAGTGTCGTCATCATAATCTAATGGCATGGATTGTTGTTCACACTGTGAGTCACAGTAATATCTGGTCAAAACTGAATTATTTACAGGCACTAGTTCAATATGGCTTAGTGCAGAGTTACATTACAAACAAAATTCAAGAACTCACAATATTTTCACATTGTCTTTGTTATTATGTTTATGTAATGAAACCATGCAATGATGTTAACTTGATAACCTATGACAGTTTTACTTTTATCAAAAGGAACCTATGAAGATCCAGTTTAGAACTGGCTTCAGCAGCCCATGCTAGTAGGAGGTAACTAACAGGATCGGGTGGTCAGGCTCGCTGACTCTGTTGACATGTCATCGTTTCACAATTGCATAGATGGATGTCATGATGTCAGTCACTGGATTGTATGGCCTGACTCAATTATTTACACTCCAGAGTGATGTCCATTCTCTTCCCTCAAGTCATATCTTCCCACATAACCTCTGTTCTAATACAGCCCTTTCATGGTGCGAGTGTTCAGGATTCGTGATTGGTTGCAATCAGAATTAGTTGTGCAATCAGCAACGTTGTTTCAAAAGTGATCATTCGCAAAGCCTCGGAAATTTCCGTATGCTGCGGAAAAACTAGAACCTCTTCCCCTGCACGATGCCCAAACGTTTCTCCTATGAGTCATGTAATCAAGGTAATGGCGGACCAATGGCATCTCCATCGCCCTCACTGACTATTGGATCTAAGTTGATGTAACATGTGTTCTGATTGGATAGAAAGAAGGGAGATAATTTGTGTTGCGATTTTTGCCGCCAGGAGATTTTACAAGAACCGGGAAATATGGCCATATTAGAACAGAGGTTACGCGGGAAGATATGACTTGAGTAACCTCTGTTGGAAGAGAATGACTGATGTCATATTGCCGAAATATTGCTGAGTGTGGCGTTGAACATCAAACGAAAGAGGACACAAGCTAAGAATAAGATAGATCAATAGTTGAACACGATACCCACTTCTCTAGAAACTCCTTCTGCGACAATGAGTCGGCCTCTCGGACCTCGATACTACATGGGCCAGGGTGGGCCAACAGGAGGTGCTTCTCTGTAGCCCTGGCAAACAGAAAAAAAGAGTCCAGATAATGTTACAAGATAGTCATGGTAGTCTTCACTGATGTCATCCACTTCCATCATCTTCACTTCAGGAGTGACATCACCTTTTCAGTTTCTCACTTACAGAATGTCTCAAAGCCCATGAACTTCTTATCAACAAACTCTCAATAGGCATCTTTGTTTTTAATTTTGAACAGCTCTATATTCAAATTCACTGTCCTGCATGAGAGGACCCTAGTTATATTGAATCTACAGTTTTAATGTTGTTTACATGAACATTGGCTAGCGAACAGTTATCGCCAATACATCAGTATCACGTGTGTGCAGTTCTTGTCAATTACAATTCCAATATTTTATCCCTCGGTATTTGACAACAATATAGGACAGTGAAAGAATAAATTCTTCACGGTAAGTAACATGAGGGAAAAATTAAAGATAAAGTTATGAACCCTATAACAGTTTTTAACTTAGTCGGGGGGATGTCACACGATCTATATAATAGCAAGTCATTAATTTTTTCATTCCCTATCAGTCTACTGTAATAAACACTCAATTAGTCACACAATTAATTATTCATGGTTACTTTATTATATGAATATATATTATTTCACAAAGGACATGAGAAATTCTGAAGTGGCGATAACTGTTACAATTAGTTGTCAGAAAACAATTCTTTGTACTGCCATGATTCTCTTCCACTACGTTATAGGAAAACATGATCGGGAGCAGTGAACGGGCTGGACACATCTGTGAATAGCTAATTAAGTATCATAATTCATTTTGTTACATTACTTTAAGAAACGGCGGAGTAATTTTGTAAATAGCGTTTAGTCAGCACAGCAGCCAATAGTCGAGAGCCAATATGGGGCCCTACAGTCATAATTTATATATGCGATGTTGAGTAATGTCTTGACTGTAGGACCTTATCGCGGCTCTCGACTGAGCCGCCAGTATGTTCTCCACAGTAGCTTTAGTCACTTTACTAACATGTGGCAGCTGATGAGATGCAAGCAGCAGTGACAGACAGTCGGCCAATTCACCTTTATTATCATGATCAATGCCATTATAACGTACATGCTTAATGGATTAACATTGAGCATGGTTACATCCCTTGAAAGACAAATATGTGAGCACTACAAAACAGAAACTCATCAAGAGGATCCCGAATTCTCTCTATTTCTATTTCAAAATTACTCATCGAAAGTAAAATCAATATACAAATAAACTGACGCATGTTCTAGGGTGCGCGAAAATCGAACCTGCTTCAGTACATTTGCGGTTATTGCATGGTAGATTTTAAAGTACGCAAGACTCACCATCCACCATCATCTTCGGCTTCTTCTAAGCATAAGCCAACTGTCCACAAATGAATTAGGAGCAAGATTCGCATGTCTGAACATCAAAACCAGCAGCTGTACCGGTCATAGACGCTGTCTGCTAGCGCTACACGTGTATTTCCGTTTTGTCGGAAACGAGGTCGATGTAAATAGATAACGACATACAACCTCCAACAACTTTGTTTAAACATGAAGTGAGTCACATTACATCAACTTCTTATCAAGGATAATAACACGATTAGCTATGATAATACTGTCTTGATTGATATACACTGCATGATATTTTCTCTCGCGCAAGAACATATGTCGCAAAATCGGAAAAGACTTATTTACGTTGAAGCATGCCGTTTGTTGATGAAAAGTGAAGCTATCTTGTGTAATTTACAAGGAGTAGTGTGCATGCAGTTCCGGCTGTTCAGAATGCAACACTGACGTTTACGTATATAACCACTGCCATGTTAGGGAGTACTGCACTAGCCCCATGTTAGCATGTGATGCCTTTATTTCCTGATATGTACAAACACATTTGGTAAGTTACGTTTAGAAATGGTTTTATGGAGGGTTGGCTCTGTTGATAGCTTTATCATTATTCACCTAGTTCATAGTAGTTTCAACTCACCGACAGATATCCTCTCTGATCTGTATAGAACCATGGATAAAAATACGAAACGTCAACAGATATGGTCTAGTACTACCATGTTTTCTTAATTTTATCATGTTAATGTTAAAAGACAACAAAATGACACTAACCAAATATGTTTTTATGATTGATCAGATTCAGTTCAAGATGAGTACTGGTGAGCAATGATTTCTTGATATTATGGGTTTTTTCTGTATTGCTAGTTTTAAACACACACATATACACACACTGTGTGACAGAGCTGTGTAGACAACACTAACATATTCTTTTCCACAGAATTTGGCATCATCAAGTGACCATGTTTGTTCTGGCGGAGATGAAGGATACTGTCCGCCTTCCTCCTTGGCTCTTCAACCTTGACCAGAAAGATGCCATCATTGAAACTCTCAACAAAAAACTGGCAAACAAGGTAATCACCATGATTAAACATGTTAAAGTCATGCTTCATTATGTAAATACTTGACATGGATGAATACAATGTCATCATGCTCGATATTGTCTTAAGTTGTCCACATCATAGGTGGCAGGAGTGAAAGTCTGTGAGTAATTGCTACGCATGTGCTGGCTGGTACACCTCTGAGCTTTGACTGACTTCCATGTACAGGAGGGCACATGTAGCCTACTCATCTGTGGCAAGGGAATTTGATGAGTGGAAACCTTTAGGCATACAAGCTTAGCAAATGATAATTTGTTTGTTATAAAAAAGCTTTATCAAATCAAGCATGTTTAATAAGGGTGTCAAGATGCCAATCACATACATCAGTGTATCTTACTATTCATGAATCATGCAATGATTCAAATCTTGATGCTTGGTGTTTGTCAATTTTGTGTGTTATTTTACTGTGTAACATTCTCTGTGTTTCTTAGTTAAGAAGGTTGGATTTTGACATCCCTCATTTCTGATATTGATTATCCTGTTTAAGGATAATGCTGAGAAGGGCAAGGCTCCATTTGACATTGTAATAAATGCCTAAAGTGAACATGGTACAGTTGCATCAAAGTGTGTATATTTCTGATAGCATGTATAGTCTAACTGGTACTTGATTGACTGACCTGATAGTGACACATGCGAAAGTTAACAGATCAGTAAACTTGATGAATCATCTTATTTTGATTATAATATACTTCATCATCCGGTTTCTCTTCTTCAGGTGGTGTACAATGTGGGTCTGTGCATTGCATTATGGGATGTTCAGAGACTAGAGGATAGCTACATATTCCCAGGAGATGGAGCATCTCACACAGTTGGTATGTAGCATTCTAAGATGCCTAGCTGTTAGAACAATCAAAAAAAACAAACATTATGAGACAATAAAGGTATAGTTTTTTGATGACGTAACAATTGAATGACGTTATCCCTTCACTGCGCCATTCTAGTGTGCCCCCTCGTAATCGAATTATTTTACATTACGTCACAATGTAAGTGCACAATGTAAGTGACGTCACGATGCATGTCAGTTGTCATCGCCTCGTACGGCCTCCTACAGTAAACTACTCCGTTGCATCCCGTTTCTTGGTTTGCAGTTGCTTCACGCAGCTAACATCACTGGTGGAAACATTACGTTTATGTTTTACAACAGTTAAAATGTGTCAATTCGACTCACAAGTTTTCAGCGACACGGTAGCGTTTGCAATGTTTACATTCCCACAATGCAATCGTGGAATGTCGCTGACTACTCCGCTTCATCTGGATGTACTGATCTAAACTTACGTTGGTACAAGAAATGCGACGTTGATATTGCCCCAAATGGTTTACGTTAATGACAGATGTAATTAAAATAATTCAGAGAAGATATTTAATCAGAACGTAAACCGTCATCAAACTGTTATCATTTGTTTTTTCTGGTAACGTTCGCCTTAACGTAGGGGGCAGACACATCAATAGAACAGCGCACCAGTTAGCCCTGAAAATGCGAGGATTCTTAATTTAGGTCACCAACACCGCCATTTGTTTTCTGCCTTAAATTAATCGTAATTATCCTTAGAAAGTATTAAATTTAGCATCTTAGAAAGATGTAAAGTTATTGACGCTCTACCCCAATGTGTTTTGTAATAAAAGTATAGTTTTGCCCTGAACTATTATAATTTCATCAAAGCACTCGGACTACCGGTCCTCGCGGCTTTTAATTATAATAGTTCAGGGCAAAACTATACCTTATTACAAAACAACATTTGGGTAGAGCGAATTAACTTTATTTATTAAGTATAATGTGGAACTGGAAATCTTCCAGGGTAGGGCTTAAGTACCCCTTGCTTGTTGTTAGAGCCTTTTTTTACTCCCGTGATCTAAAAATCAGGCGGGTGGTGGGGTAGCTGTGTGGTTAAAGCGTTTGCTCATCACGCCGAAGACCCGGGTTCGATTCCCCACATGGGTACAATGTGTGAAGCTCATTTCTAGTGTCCCCCGCCATGATATTAATGGAATATTGCTAAAAGCGGCGTCAAACTACCTCAGTCACTAAAAATGAGGCAACTTTATGAGACCTAGTTAATTGCGTCTCATTGTCCCCCAGTGACCTGGGTCATGGCTCATAATGTCAATCAGTGGTTTGTGTGGTCCAGACTGAATTATTTTCAAGGTGTCATCACACACGTTTGTGAGTGCAATATTAAACTAGCAGTGTACAAACGATGTCAAGGAATTACTGCGTTGCTGCAGTGTTCGATCTGATTGTAACTTTGTCAGTCTCAGACTTTAGCACCTGGTCTTAAGTACAAGTCTTTTGAATGTATGGTATGCCAATCTATTCATAGTCCATATATTAATATTGATGTGTGTCCACATTGATGCTCAGCGACTATTTTGGGGGTTGTAGGTGGAAAAATGTTTGGCATAGACGATCATAGTACTCTGACAACATGGATTCTTGCTCATGATATTGACCACCGGGTGACAGGATGTACAGGATGATTACTTTTAGTTTCAGTATAGCTGACTACTCTGCAAATAAATGTTACTCAAAGAGGAAGTTTTCAGGGGGGACAACTCTTGAGCTCCTAAGGCAGTCTTGCATCTTCAGATCCTATAGTTCTCATGATGTTCATTCAACAAGTCCCTGAGATAATTCCTGGTTAGCATTGGAACCAAGCAGCCTATGCTGGTTGCAAGAGTTGACCAAATGGTTTGTGGAGTTAACACACAAACACTGACTGACTGAGTTTAGTTTTACGCCGCTTTTAGCAATATTCCAGCAACATCACGGCGGGGGACACCAGAAATGGGCTTCACACATTGTACCCATGTGGGGATTCGAACCCGGGTCTTCGGCATGGCGAGCCAACGCTTTAACCACTAGGCTACCCCACCGCCTCCCCCCACAAACACACCAACCTTTTGCATGGCTTGGCATGGGTGATAGTTCATGAGTAATAGGGCAGTGGGGTAGCCTTGTGGTTAAAGCGTTCGATCATCACGCCGAAGACCCGGGTTTGATTCCCTACATGGGTACAATGTGTGAAGCCCATTTCTGGAGGTCCCTGCCGTGATATTGCTGGAATATTGCTAAAAGCGGCGAAAAACCAAACTCACTCACTCACTCATCAGGGGCGTAGCTACCATTATGAAAAAAAGCCCGGGCTTACACATGATTGTTGCTAAAAAGGTTGGGCAAGCCCTCAGTACTATCTAAATATATAGCTTTGCAACCTATCGGGCTTACACGAAACAAATGGTTTGCTACGTGCCTGCTCATGAGTAAGAGATGGTGATGTGGTTTTAAGAATGGGTATCTCTTGTAGGCAAATGGTCTTCAGTGAATCATTGAGATGTTGGATTTTAGTTTACTTTTACCATGGTGTCTACCTCTGTTTATGCTGTGTTGCATCCTATCTATAATCACATTTTAAACATGTTATACATCGATCTATCTTTCAGTTCACTTCCGCTATGTAGTATTTCGGCCCTTTGTGGACGAGGTGCAGTTGATTACAAGGGGAAGATCAAGAGCTGCAGTAGAAGGAGGGTGTACAAGGTGAGACAGAAATGTGTTGCATAAAAACATCAGCTATTCACAAAAAGATTGCAGTGGTAGAATTCCTTTGCATGTCCCTACCTCTGTTGACATATCATGCAGGTAACATCAAAGCTCAAGGCATTTTCTCCTTTAAACAGAACCACAAATATCCCTTTATTGCCACATTGTTGATGGAGACGCCATTGAAAACATCACAGGGCTATGCATCGCGCAGGGAAAGAGACAGTCACACATTCACTAAAATGATCAAAAACACACAACATCTGGAGGAATCCTGGGGAGGTAAATGAAACTTAATCATGTTGATATTAACTGCATGCCTCTAATACAACAGCTTTACTCCTGGTATACAGATTATGCATGAACACATAGAATCAACTTAATCATGTTAATTGAAAACATGGAAAATGTAAGAACTGTATTTGTATAGATGTTTTCTCAGCATGCTAACACTCTTACACTAACAGCTTATATTTTATAACTATGCTTACTTATCACTGCTTACTGTCTAGCTTATAGTTACTTTCATGTTTTTTAAATTTCAGAATTATTTTTTTAAAGTGTGTAATGAGATTTTCAGTGAATCTTTATGAATTTCTCTTTCCAGTGTCTATTGGATTCTTCGATGACATCCTCATCCCACCCGATGCTCTTCAGCATCCATCCAGATTGTATCCTTGTGACATGGTGAACATTGTCTTGTTTCCTCACGTGTAGTAGTGCTCATATCTCAAACTGACCACAGTCGCTATCGAGCTGGCATATTATCTCATTCAATACACTATTTAGAAATTAAAAAACCCAACACTTATCATGCTTAAGATAATGATAATATGACTATATTCCAAGTGATTCCATGGCTTTTGATCGGCTGCTCATTGTAGCCATGCTCTGAGGTTGACTACTTTACCTGACTGGCTTATAATTAGTCTTTGAATGGCATTTCACATAAGGAAGAGAATGTTTATGGATGTCAACTTCTTTATTATGATAATAGGGTGGGAGGGGCATGTGTGGCAGTATTGCTGGTTGTGATTATTTATTATTTATTAAACAAGATGTTATTGAGATAAATTCATTTCGACGTGGCGTGTTGGCCAATTTCGGGTGTTATTGAGTATTTGAAGCACGGAATTCATTTGGAACCGACGGCGCCAGCTTGAGGTTTCAAATGAAATATTCCCGTGCTTCAAATACTCAATAACACCCGGAAATTGGCCAACACATGATGTTTATCGACATTGTAAACACAAAAGTAAACCAAAAGGTCCACACACTGTTTTTGTGTCTGCACTCATTGACATCAAGTCCGGGTACAGCAGTGAAATGTCATCAGCCGGACGTTTTGGCTGTCTCCAATGGTAGCATCTGGAACTGCTCATTTGTGATGTCATTCGGACTTTACGTCACAATATGATTTTAATGACGTCATCACAGCTGACGACGTAACAATGCAATGGTGTGAGCGATGTTTGTATGTATTAATACACAGCGAATTGCCGGGAATCAAATACCATTTGATCACATTTTTCAACCAATCAGATTAAAGAACACAGTGACTTTTGGTTTACAATGTTTCTTCATACGAACTGAATTGCTTAATGTTTGTGTTTATGGAGATATAAATGTCAGAACTGTACACTTAGTGCAAACCTACTGTGCTAGTTTATGCAATGTGCAGAACTCTATTTATCTTCATGCTGCAATATACAGAGACACATTGGTATCTGTTCTCAGATACTCCACACAGGAGGAAAAACACAAATTTTGTTTGTTTTGTGTGGTTTTGGGTCTGCAGATCATGACGCCATGAGATAATGATACCTTTCCATATTATGACTTTTCATCCCTCACGACGCAGTACATATTTTTTCTGCATCCATTGTGTATGGTTGTGAGTACTTTGAGTACTCAATTTTGTGTCACGAAGAACGCTAATGAAGAATAGTCATTCCCATGTTGTGACCTTGACCTTGTGAGTGATGAGCAAGAGCAGCTGTGGGCATGGGAGTACCAGTTGGATGATGGCAACAAACATGACCTGTTCATGGACATCGGAGAGCAGATCAGGTGAGCTACCTAGTTGATTCCGGCAGCATGGTTGCCATGGTCACTTGATGGGGGTCACATGTGGTGGGAGACTTAGCTTCTAGAGCAGGTGTAGACAAGCACAACCTAGCAACGGCTGGGGAAACATCACCAGCCACGAGGTAGATGCTGTTGGTCATCCCCAACCAGTCCACATCATATTCTAGACTATGTTCTTATTAGGAACTTTCAAGATTTTCCTAAGACCGAGAATGACTAAGTGGCTATGTCTGACCCTGCCATGGACAGCATACTTGATATAGGAGCAGTGTTAGACGTCATCTTGCGACATCTATCCTGTTACCGGTAGCTAGTCGACCATTCAGACCCTGAAGCAAATATATGCAAGAAACCCCACGCAGGTCTAGAAAATGTGGCAAGTCTACATTTCCACACCTTCTGAAAATGAAGAAAGTCTCAGGTAGTGGTGTTCCGATGATCGAAAATCGATCGAAAGAAGGCTTAAAAATGATTATCGATTTTAAAAAATATATTTTTGATTAATCAGAATTTTGTTGTTTTTGTATAACACCCTTGAATTAAGTATACTAACCATTTAATTTGATGAATATTCACGAACAAACATGTGCTCAACAGCGTAAAGCTATGCGCATTGTAAAATTTTAACCTCTTATTGTTTAATTACAATTCCAGTGTCTTACTGGCATGCGTGGATTTCATTGTATTACAGTAATTTTTATTAAAAACCCATTAATTAGACAAAACCTGGGGAAAAACCCTTAAAATTGGTGATTACATTAAAAATGTAGTTATCATCCAAAACTGTGTTCCACAGGAGATATCGCTTGTGTGAGATCAAACGATATCTCCTAGGAGATATGGTCTTGACAGTAGATTTTGTACAATACCCTGACAATGCTATGACGTCACAATGCTATGACATCGCTGCACTGCAAGTCTAACGGCAGAACAGTGGTCAGAGATGTACATTTTTCAATGAAAACTAATGAAGAGTGATTTTTGGTGATAAATAGAATCTCACCATCGTGTCTACTTCAAATATATCAACCACTCGTTGATAAAAGTAAAAATTTGAAACTTTATCAACTCGTGGTGATATATTTGATATCAAAAGACACTCGGGTGAGATTCTCTATATGGTTTGATTATAATCTATAATCATTCAGCGCAAGTCCTCCGATAATCGATAGTGTATTTGGTTTCCGATTCCCAACACTAGTCTCAGGGCTCCTTTTCATTATATTTTATTTTTTTACTATGTTCATTTCAGAGACTAGTTGTTAGTGTACCTGTTAGCCTAAGCCGTGTTAAAATTCAATGGGACTATTCAAATAAATTTTTATGAGATCATTAGCTGAGTGTGTTTCAGTCTTAACAGTATCATATTTTAGGAATAATGTATTATTAATAGAGATAATTTTTAATGGTTATACATGATATTGATTACACAAAAAAGCAAACCTAACGCAGCAATCACTATGTTATGTCATGCTTAAAATGATGGATTTGTTTAAGATGTAATTTAGCTGACTGAAGTATGTTTCGAAACTGCTTATGATTACAATGTTAAGTGCCCTATTTATCAATCATTGACACATGACCTGCTGACAGGTGTCGACAGAAACGTGATGTATTGGAAAACCACTTACTACACATATTTGGCATGTTAGTCAGAAGTTTACTGAGAAAGAAAACATTACATCAATGTAGGGTGCTTTAAGATAGAACCTGATAGATGACTTCATTTGCATATTCATTAGATTGTGATATTAGTTTTTTGATTGGGTTTTCGAGTATTAGATTGATATCACTATTCATGAACCGTTACGTGACAATGCACTGTTCGGTTTGCCTTCTGACAAATTGTCTGACAATTATTCATCTGTGTCAAGATTTGTATGCCTTCCAAGAGACATTTTAGACATTCAGTGTGGAGTTTTTCACTCACAGTGAATCATTTGGACTGGCATATCTGTTTTCTGTATCAGAAAGATGAACGAAAATAGGCAGTTCCAAATTGAAAGTAATAATGGCCGATCAACGTTGTAGATACTATGGAGTGGCTTGGCATTTAACATGATGAAATTTTCGAATTGTGGATAGAGGTGTCACATACATTTACCAGACAGTCATTATGACTGGCAGTGGATTGTGTTGAGAAGATTTTAGATGTATTGAGGACAAATTGCTTCAGAAAGTAACATCAATCTGCATATTCCTCGTTTTGATTGATCGCTTTGTCCTGGGTTCAAGTGACGTAACCTGGTATGGGGTATTTCTAAGATCTTGGTAGAAAGGAGCATTGAATGAGAGTTAATGATCTAATCGAGACTGAGAAGTGGGCGTCTAGACTGAGAGAAGCACCACTATAATCAAGTCTGTATGGTCACTGGGAAACATTGGATGAGCCTAGATGTTCTACCAGCAAATGCAGAAAACATTCCGAAAAAAACCTGCCCCATTTTACATAGGTCTTAAATTTATAACAACCAAACATAAGTCTTTAATTTAGATTACTTTTCCGAAGTGAAGTTTCAGAGTGAGAACCTATGTTTGAAATAAAGGAAATGAAATAAAAGGCTGTCATGAGGACCCTCAGACTTTAGAAGCTGTAGGCTCTGGCTAAACACCAGAGTCTGTCTATTCACTAAAAACTACAGCTTATTGTGACAAATAAACTGCCCGTGTAAATTTACCCCTGACCTTAATGACCGATGAAATTAGAAGCTATGGTTCTGGCACCAAATCTACCTGTCACTTACTTAAAGACCAGCACTAATTTGACACTGTTGAGAAGCTATCTCAGAATCACAGTAACCAGCTGGCTTTGATACACCTAGTTTGCTTGGCATGTTGAAACCATCATGTCTGTGTTTAAACTTAGACTGTTTACTGCATGTTTAGGGCAGAGGGTTCATTAATTATTGTTTGTTTCGTTGCCCTGGTAGTTTTCCAAATGTCTATGTGACATTTAAGACATCCGCTGGATCCGTAGTCACTGATTAAAAATAGAGATGTTTACTTTTTGTTGTTTTACCCTGCCAATAAAAAACATAAAATGTCAGAAGGCATGGCGTTTGATTCGTAAATTGGGGCCTTGTCCTGGCAGGAATTGTCCTGTGGTTGTCAGGTTCAATAATGGTTTGGAGTCCCTAGCTGCTGTGAATGTCAGCGCACAGGGATATTTCAAATGTCAGTCCTTATGTTAAATGTTAGTGGAGTCATTTGGAGTTGGGTGAAAGTGGAATTACTGAATTGTCAAAGGTTAGATTATTTTAGAAATGGTAATTAGATAGCATTTAATAATCATTCACCTTACCTTAATTTATTGTTTCGGTAATGATGATAATGTTTTGTATTTCTTGTACAACTGAAGATGGTGACATTTTAATGATTATCTTTTCTGTGTGTAGGTGTTGGGTGAGTGAGTGAGCTGGTTTTATAAATGCAGCATTCAGTAGTATGGTTGTCACATGTAGCATGTCAGTCTGGACCAGAAAGTCATGTGAAAGATATTATGAGCATCAATGAATGTTGGAAGGGTATGATGACAGGAAATCAAGCAAGTCAACTAGTCTCTTCACAGATCAGTTTAACTGTCTCTCATGATCAGGACAGTTTGAGAGGAACCTTTCTAAACCCAGCAACCCCAAGTCTTTCTCACATTTTCTGAACCATGTTATTTTCCGTCCCTTTCAGCCCACCCATGCTTGTCATAAGAGGCGACTAATGGATCGGGTGGTGACTCACTGACTTGGTTGACATATGTCATTGTATCCCAATTGCATAGATTGATGCTCGTGCTGTTAATCACTGGATTGTCTGGTCCAGACTTGATTATTTACAGACCGCCACCATATAGCTGGCATATTGCTGAGTGTGGCATTAAACAACAAACCAACCAACCAAATCCTCTCAGCCCTTACTGTAATGCCATAGTTGTAAATGAGGTTAGGTGAGGTGAAATTGGGTTTTACGTCGTGCTTGAGAATATTTCGCTCATATGACGATGTGCATGCGTGTGCATGTGTATGCGCGGCTGCTTGTACTAGCCCAGACTTAAGCTGGTTTTATAGTGCTGGCCCACTAAGATACCATACCGCAGTGAAGCATGAATACCCCACTCAGACACATTATACTGACTCCGAGCCGACCAGTCCTTGTTGTACCCATTAATGCCGAGTGCCAGGCAGGGACCGACAAGTACCATATTTTAACGTCTTTTGGTATGACGCGGTGGGGGATTGAACCTGCGACCTTCCGCTCTCCGGGCGGACGCTCTAACCACTCCACCACAGAGGCGGTCCAGTTGTAAATGAAGCAAGTCAAGATTTTCCATTGGTCCTCCATCTCCATGATCTCACCTGCAATTCTGTTGCATTAAAATAGGGTTGTTTGTTTCTGTGAAAATATATTTCAAATGTTAGTCTTGGAATCCATGCATTTCATTTACCATTGACTTAACAGTAGTTTAGTCAAATCAAAGCTTACTTACTTGAGATGGAAGGAAGTGACATTTTGACGTTTAACCACAGTCATGAAATCCATGAGCATGGGTAAAATTCAGACTAACTGGTAACACAAGGAGACTAAATGGGATTCAACCTTCTTGTGAATAAACAGAAAATACTAGGGTAGTAAGTCTCTGGTGAGCATTTAGAATTTGTTTGAACATGAAAACATGTTTATTGCTTGTGATATTTCAGAGGTACATCTTGCCCTTTCATCTTTACCACGGTTTCTGTACATGAAACAAGCAAACCTATCTATGCCTCCCTCAGGGAGTCGGGATCTGAAAGATTCTTAGTTCAGGTCAGGTTTCGATGGACTGGAGGACCCCCTATCAGGGGAGATAACTCATGCCTTCACTTTTCTAACACATTCAGGTGTGGGAAAGAAGTACATTTTAATACAGTTGATGCAAAAATCGGTTTACAAGATGGTGAAGTTTGGTTGTTGAAAGTATGGTACTCATGTCTGGAGAGATTGACTGATTGATTCAGTTTAGTTTTACACCGCATCATGTCTGCGGAGAGGCCTCTGTACCTTTTTGTTTGTTTGTTTCATGGCATACTTAGCAATATTCAAGCTATGTGGTGGTGGTCTGCAAATAATCAAGTCTGGACCAGACAATGCAGTCATCAACAGCATGATTATTAATCAATGCAATTGGGATACGATGACATGTGTCAACCAAGTCAGCAAGCCTGACCACCCGATCCCATTAATCGCCTCTTACGACAGGCATGGGCTGCTGAAAACCAATTCTAACCCGGATCTTCATGGTCGTATCTCATACCTGCCCCTAGAAACTGATTAGAAAGGGTTTGGGGGTAATTGTTGGTTGTTGTGTGCCACAGTATCCTGAGTTTGTCCCGATTCTTGTTAACCCGAAATGGTAACCATAGTGATGATACTCAGTTTGTTACACAGTTTTTGTTGTCCCCCGCTGCAACGCAGAATGGGGGACTATGTATTCAGCATCCATACGGACGTCCCGATTCTTGTTAACCCGAAATGGTAACCATAGTGATGATACTCAGTTTGTTACACAGTTTTTGTTGTCCCCCGCTGCAACGCAGAATGGGGGACTATGTATTCAGCATCCATACGGACGTCCCGATTCTTGTTAACCCGAAATGGTAACCATAGTCATGATGCTCAGTTTGTTACACAGTTTTTACGGGGGACTATATATTCAGCGGCGTCTGTCCGTCCGTCCGTAACGCCCCGAATATTGTTAACACGATATCTCATGAACTATTGTTCCCAATGTCTTCAAATTTGGTGACAGCCTATATTAGGGGATTACCCACACACCAGTGGATTTTGATGACCTCGACCTTATTTTCAAGGCCACCATGACAGTTTGACCTCTTTTCAAACTCTTGTTGACACAATATCTCATGAACTGTAGTACCCAATGTCTTCAAATTTGGTGACAGCCTACATTAGGGATTACCCACACACCAGTCGATTTTGGTGACCTTGACCTTATCTTCAAGGTCGCCACAGCACTTTTCAAACTCTTGTTGACGTGATATCTTATGCACTGTTGTACCCAATGTCTTCAAATTTGGTGACAGCCTACATTGGGGGTTTACGCAGACACCAGTTAATTTTGTGACCTTGACCTTCAAGGTTACCACAACATTTTGACCACTTTTCAAACTCTTGTTAACGCGATGTCTCATGAAACATTGCACCCAATGTCTTCAGTTATGTTGGCAGCCTACATTGGGTGATTATGCCACCAGTCATTTCAGGCATCTTGTATGTGACTAAAAAATAAAAAAGTAGTAAATATGTTATAAATATTCCATTCTTTAGCGGCGGGAGACATTGCCATATCAGTGGCAAACACTTGTTTTTTTTAAAATGTCATGGCGGGGACACCAGAAATGGGCTTCACAGATTGTACCTATGTGAGGAAACAAACTCGGGTCTCCGGCATTATGAGCGAACACTTTAACCACTAGGCTACCCCACCGATTATAGGAAAAAGAGGGTTTTTTTTTTACAGAACACCACCCTACCACCTCTAAAATTTGTCCAGACCTTGGGCCCATTCCTCAAAGGGATCTTAGCGCTAAGGTGTTTGTAACTCCTATGGGTCCAAATGGGGCCCAGCTAGTTTAGAACAGGAAATCATCCTCTTAAAGGAGAATACGAACGAAAACAAAACTTTTGATATGTTGTAAAGGGTATTCTAAAAGTCACATTCTGTGATTAAAATTGAACAAAAAGTTTGTAAAATAGCAATAAAAACACAAAAACGTATTCGTATTTCCGCCAATTACGGAAACACCCGACAGTTAATTAGCAGAGGGGGTATCGCGTGACATGACATCATATGTGCCTGTTGCTGATGGCTTCTTCTTTGAGTTTACCTCACAACTTAACAGTGTCCGTGGATTCTGAAGCAGTAAAAGATGTTCCTAATGTCATTTCTGAAATGGATGTTAGACCGTATCAATACGATCCGATTTTACATCTTGCAAGACAATCTTCCAGTGAAGATGAAGAAGAAGAATCAAGCGAAACGGAGGCACCGCTTGAGGTCAAAATAAATTTAAAAATAGACCATATCGTTTAACAAGATTACTATTTGTCAGCAAAATGTCATACAGTTCCAGCCAGCAAACTCACCCCTATAAATATATGACCAGTCACAAAGAATTTTTTTTTTAAAATGTGATTACAGTTCATTTTGTGTCAAATGGGTGACTGTAGGGTGTCTGGGATTTAAAAACAAAATAATTGTGCTTCAGACGAGGGAAAATAAAAATTATCTGCTTCAAAAATTACACTGGAATTATTTTGTTGAAAAAAGTTAGGATCCTAGTTCTCATTAAGTACTTCATGATTTGCCGTTGTATTCAGCAATGTTTCGAGTAGACTGCATCATTTAGGGCTCCAAACCGAATAGAACGTTATATATAGCGAAACGTTTTCAAGCTCTTGTGAAATCTCTTACTGATTTTATAATTCATATCTCATGTGTACCAGTCGAACTGCCCCAGCTACAAAATGCCCCAGCAAATTTGGTCATTCATTCTAATTTGTTCAAATTTATTTATAATGATTGAATATATGCCGTAAATGCATAGTTTTTGTCAACTTATTATGATATTATGTTCTTCATATAAAAGTTATTAGGAAGTACTATTTCTGATAAATGTTTCATTAGTAAACTCATAACTATGTATATACTTATATATGAAGAAGATAATATCAAAGTTGACAAAACTATGCATTTATGGCCTATATTTATTCATTTTAAATAAATTGGGGCATTTTGACTACCCCACTGGGGCAATTTGACCAAATTGGCTTGGTCATTTTGTAGTGGGGGCAATTTGACTGGCAATCGGACTTGATTTAATTTATGTTAAAAGTACCACTGACAGTAAGTTGTTACAGGGAATGATGGAATATAAATGAATCTCGTGGGTACTTCTTCCTTCTTCAGCCTAGCTTGGGGATTTTCATACCCCGTGTGTGCATGTCTCTTTCATATGCGTCCGACTCGGAATGATAGGTGCATTTCTCCTGCCGAAATCTGTCGTTTTACTTGGAAAACGGAAGAAATGGTGGTTCTTTTCCATGTTCGATGATGCCGTGCATTCCCAGGCAACGCAATACACCATCGTACCATTTTAAAAAATGACAGAAACAACACGATTTGTACTACGGTAGCGCTTGGTCTTTGGCAAAATGGTGGACTCCAGGCACATTTGACGTCACGGGCGGAAAGGTCACGTGGTTTCCAGCGAAATATGCATAATGGCTGAAGCCGAGATTTACAGGAACTGTTTTCGCGATTAAAACATAATTATACATAATTTTTAATTGAAAATTTGGGAATATGTTTCTGATGACTTTATCTTTCATCCAGCAAATTATTGCAATTCACTCGTATTCTCCTTTAAATACAGATGAGCCTGCTAATTCTATTTTCCTCACAGCATTGACAGATTACAGTTCCTGGTGTTTAAAATTCATGAACCTGAAAAATATAGAGGAGAAATTGATATAAATGTATTATTCAAGTGTGTTAGGCATGTATTGAATTAACGTTTTCTGAAAATAATTTAACTGCGTTGAAAGAAAATACTCATTTACTTCATTTGCACAGCCTGTTAAAAACATTTCGTTTTGAAACAAGCTCCATCACGATTCCGAATGGGAAGCTTTTCATCATACTAATTCACCCAATTACATAAACCACAAATAACTTGTTGAGAAAATAACATGCTGGCAACTTTTGATCAGAAACATCCGGGCGGACTCCCATCTTCAGAGGTCTAGATGCTGACGGATGAGTTTATATAATTTCTTAATTTATCTACCAGCATTTTTACCATTGGAGCGCTTGATGTGTGGCTTGAAATAACATGGCCTGAAAATAACATCCGTATGTCTAATCTTTTCCGAACACGTTAAAATGTGATACGACAGGTTTTTATCATCAGGAAATGAATCCATTAAAGCTCAGCTAACAGGTAGCATGTATTTAAATCCGATAAAGTTTGCTTCAGGACCTTGTTGGCTGGCTCAACATGCTTAAGATTCATGCTACTAATGCATGTCGGAAGATTGTTTTGAGGATTCACCAGATAAAATTGGAGTTGGGAGGAATTCAGCAGGTCATGAATCTTGCTTCCTTCCGATTGTTTCATTTTCTTAGATGCTGAATGGCTCAGACAAGCATTGGTTGAGGTTTATTTTGATGCATTTTTTTTAACTAGAGTCTTTGAAACAAAAAGGGTCTGTCTGTCTGTCTGTCTGTCTGTCTGTCATAACCTCCCCTCTGTCTGATAATTTTAACCTTTATTTTGTTTGTTCTTTGAAGAAAATTAATTTCACTGTGGAAAGAAGATTAACAATGATAATGTGTGGTAATGTCGCCCATTAAAAATAATTATTGATTCAGTTTAAATTGTTGAAGAAATGGCTGGACATGGACTGAACAAAGTTTCTGAGAACTGACTGAATTAATTGTGTGTCGTAGTAATGCTGGTCTTATCTCGATGTGTTTTTTAAATGTCGGTGAAACATTTGTGCTGTGTTTAACTGCTGCGTGTTCCACAGGCTGACACGTTTTATTGTCACTTCATGGGGACCACCATCGAACTTTCTCACAACTGTCACTTATATCTTCGATCTCAACTAACGTCAGGAGACAACATTGGAGGGGGGTACATGTGTATCTTGATTGTACTCGTTTGTTGTTACGTCAAATAAAGTCACCTGTTTCATATGGAAACTAGGTATTAATGGGGACCAATCATTTTTTATCTTCCATTTATGAAACATGGCTATTTAACAGTCAGCATGTCTGTCTGCCCAGCCTTCTGTCTGTTCCATTTCCAGAACAGGATTCCAAAATCAATGAATATTTCTGGATGGAAATTGCCCAACTGAATATGTCATAAACAATGATATATATATTTTGGGCTGGTCATGAAAACAATAAGGGACATTTAAGGGACCGTTCATAATTTATGGCTAGGTGGGGTGATGATGATTTTGATGGAGAAGCATGTACAATGTGAATGACCCCCCTAAAATTTATGTACAAAGTAAGTGACCCCACCCTGCATGTCATGTACAAAATTAATGACCCCCCCCCTCCCTTCCCGTAACTTTGTAGCATATTTTAAAAATATTTTTATGCACAAAATTGATGACCCTCCTTAGCACATGTGTACAAAATTAATTACCCCCTGCCTCCCCAGAACAAAATGGGTGAGGTGATGAACACCCCCACCCCCACCCCCTCTCTCAAAATCATCATCACCCCTAGCCATAAATTATGACCGGTCCCTAATAATGAAATATAAAGGGCTTTTGCAGTCAGTCTTTTCAGGGATGGGAAATGCGGACAAGGATTGGGGTCATTTAAAGATATAAGCGATAGTGTAGGGTCACTATTTTCAGTTCATTAGTACTTCAAAAACCTCTGAACAGCATCTCCACCCCTACCCCGACCACAGGATTTATTTTTTCTGTGCGCATTCCTGTCAAGTTTTGAGGTATATGTAATTAAATTTGAACAAGTTAACAATTCCTGTATGCTCATTTTTCAAATCCGTTGAATAATTGCAGCGCCTCTCTCACCTGCAGACGATAGAAGTCATGTCGGGTTGATAATGATGTCGGCATGAGGAGGCTGTAGCCATTGCCCCCATTCCTCCGCTGTGGGCCAGGCAATTACTTGTGTCTCATCCTACATGTGTGTAACAATAACATAGTGAAGACAATCTAACCTGGCAGTGGCGGCACAGAGGGAGCTTCACGGCCTTAACGAAACTGTAACAACATCGTTAAATGAGAAAATGGGCAGTTTTGAAGCGAGGAAATCAAATTTATGGGGAATTTGCGGACATATTGAAATCTTTTTAAAAAAGTAACTTCATCTTTATAGATGAAATATTTACCTAGTTTTGATTGAAACAATGTGTTTTGAAACTAATTTGGCAAGTGCTTTGTGGTAAACATTAGATTTATGAAAAGCGCATAGTTGAGATTGTTGAGATTAGATGTTTTACATTGCATTCAAGATGCTTGCACTTTTATCTTGAAACACGTGTGAACATGATTGTGGATGAATGTACAACTAGATTGATGTCGTTTTCATTGAACTACTGACTGACTGACTGACTGAGTTTAGTTTTACGCCGCTTTTAGCAATATTCCA